CGGAGGGCTGGGCCGAGAGAGGAGAGAGACACACACATACAGAGAGAGCCGGACGGGCGCAGAGCCTCCCCGGACGGGAGCAGTCTACCTTAGGGCCAAAGTTTTGAGGGTCCTTTCCTGCCGCTGGTGGAAGGCGTCCCCGGCAGAACCCATCATCCACCAGCCCGCATCAGCTTGGGGAAAGTGTGGGCGGGGGAGAGCCAGCTAGTAGCAGAACCTCCCCGGACGGGAGCAGTCTACCTTGGCTAAAGTTTTGAGGTCCTTTCCGCCGCTGGTGAAAGGTTTTCCCGGCAGCGTGAAACTCCAAACCCCATCATCCACCAGCCCGCATCAGCTTGGGGAAAGTGTGGGACGGGAAAGCCTCCCCGGACGGAGCAGTCTACCTTAGGCCAAAGTTTTGAGGGTCCTTTCCTGCCGCTGGTCGAAGGTTTCCCGGCAGGGTGGAACTCCAGAACCCATCATCCACCAGCCTGCATCATCTTGGGGAAAGTGTGGGGCGGGGAGAGCCAGCTAGTAGCAGAACCTCCCCGGACGGGAGCAGTCTACCTTAGGGCCAAAGTTTTGAGGGTCCTTTTCCTGCCGCTGGTGGAAGGTTTCCCGGCAGCGTGAAACTCCAAACCCCATCATCCACCAGCCCGCATCAGCTTGGGGAAGTGTGGGACGGGAAAGCCTCCCCCGGACGGGAGCAGTTTACCTTAGGGCCAAAGTTTTGGGGTCCTTTCCTGCCGCTGGTCGAAGGTTTCCCGGCAGGGTGGAACTCCAGAACCCATCATCCACCAGCCTGCATCATCTTGGGGAAAGTGTGGGGCGGGGGAGAGCCAGCTAGTAGCAGAACCTCCCCGGACGGAGCAGTCTACCTTAGGGCCAAAGTTTTGAGGGTCCTTTCCTGCCGCTGGTGGAAGGTTTCCCGGCAGCGTGAAACTCCAAACCCCATCATCCACCAGCCCGCATCAGCTTGGGGAAAGTGTGGGACGGGAAGAGCCTCCCCGGACGGGAGCAGTTTACCTTAGGGCCAAAGTTTTGGGGTCCTTTCCTGCCGCTGGTCGAAGGTTTCCCCCGCAGGGTGGAACTCCAGAACCCATCATCCACCAGCCTGCATCATCTTGGGGAAAGTGTGGGACGGGAAGAGCCAGCTAGTAGCAGAACCTCCCCGGACGGGAGCAGTCTACCTTGGCTAAAGTTTTGAGGTCCTTTCCTGCCGCTGGTGAAAGGTTTCCCGGCAGCGTGAAACTCCAAACCCCATCATCCACCAGCCCGCATCAGCTTGGGGAAAGTGTGGGACGGGAAGAGCCTCCCGGACGGGAGCAGTTTACCTTAGGGCCAAAGTTTTGGGTCCTTTCCTGCCGCTGGTCGAAGGTTTTCCCGGCAGGGTGGAACTCCAGAACCCATCATCCACCAGCCTGCATCATCTTGGGGAAAGTGTGGGACGGGAAGAGCCAGCTAGTAGCAGAGACTCCTGGGACAGGGGCAGTCTACCTTGGCCAAAGTTTTGGGGTCGTTTCCTGCCCGCTGGCCGGGCATTCGCTTGGGCACGGCCGATGACCGAAAGCCTTCCCGGCGGGGTGGGAGCTCCAGGACCCATTATCCCCAGCCGTATCAGCTTGGGGAAAGTGTGGGGCGGGGAAAAGCCAGTTAGCGGCAGAGCCTCCCCGGACAGGAGCAGTCTACCTTGGCAGGCTACCTTCCAGCCAGCCTGGCGCTGCCCGTCCTCGTTCATGGCCCATGTCCGGAGAGAGGCTTCCCGGTGGAGTGGGACTGCAGACCCCATCATCCGCAGCCCGCCTCAAAATTCCAGCTGGGGGGGAAAACCGTGGGGCTGGGCGGGGGAGAGCCAGCCCGAGGGCAGCCGCAGCCAGGGATTCCCGGCTGCGAGAGGAAACCCTTGGCGTAGAACCTCCCCGGATAAGCGCAGTCTATCCTGCAATCTTATCTACGTGTCAGTTAATGCTCTGCGTCCCGGGGCCGCTTCTTGCCCCCTCCCGCTAGCCGGGCACTGCTGGGGGTCGGACTCCAGCCCCCATCATCCCCGGCCATCTATCAAGGCTCCAGCTCCTGGAAACTGCGAGGCGGGGGAGAGGGACTCCGGGCGGCGAGAGAATACCCTCCGTAGAGCCTCCCTGGATAAGCACAGTCTACCTGCTCCCTGCCCCCCTCCCCTTTGGCCGGGCACAAAGAGAACTGGGAGAACTGGATTTTGGCCACATTTCCCTACCGGCTTCCTGGAGGTGGATGGGACTCCAAGCCCCATCATCCCCAGCAGCCACCCAGGTTGCCTCTCGGGGGAAAAACAACGCTTAGCTGAGATCCGGGCAGAGAGCAGCTCTACCCCCTTTTTCCCTGCCGGCTTCTCGGAGAGGTGGGACTCCAGTTCCCATCATTCCCGGCCCGTACGGGTCGGGAAGGGGTTGCGTGGGGGGGGTCTCCAAAGGGGCTTTTCCCCCCTTTTGCCTGGCTGCTTCCCGGATGGGTGGGACACCAAGTCCCATCCTTCCCAGCCGGTATGCAGGCTGCACTCCGGGAAAGCTCTCGCCCCCTCCCCATTTGCAATCACCCCTCTCGCCCCCTCGCCCTCTCCCCACTTGCAATTACCACCTAGCCCCCTCCCCACTTACAATCACCCCCTTGCCCCCTCCCCACTTGCAATCAGCCCCCTCCCCACTTGCAATCACCCCCTAGCCCCCTCCCCACTTGCAATCAGCCCCCTCGCCCCCTCCCCACTTGTATCACTCACTCCTTCACCCCTCCCCATTTGCAATCAGCCCCCTTCGCCCCCTCGCCCCCTCCCCACTTGCAATCGCCCCTCCCCACTTGCAATTACCCCCTAGCCCCCTCCCCACTTGCAATCAGCCCCCTCCCCACTTGCAATCAGCCCCCTCCCCACTCACTTGCAATCACCCCCTAGCCCCCCCTCCCCACTTGCAATCAGCCCCCTCGCCCCCTCCCCACTTGTAATCACTCCTTCACCCCTCCCCATTTGCAATCAGCCCCTTCGCCCCCTCGCCCCCTCCCACTTGCAATCGCCCCCTCCCCCACTTGCAATTACCCCCTAGCCCCCTCCCCACTTGCAATCAGCCCCCTCCCCACTTGCAATCAGCCCCCTCGCCCCTCCCCACTTGTAATCACTCCTTCACCCCCTCCCCATTTGCAATCAGCCCCCTCCCCCCTCGCCCCCTCCCCACTTGCAATTACCCCCTAGCCCCCCTCCCCACTTGCAATCACCCCCTTGCCCCCTCCTCACTTGCAATCAGCCCCCTCGCCCCCTCCCCACTTGCAATCACTCCTTCACCCCCTCCCCATGTGCAATGACCCCCTCTCACCCCCTCGCCCCCTCCCCACTTGCAATCACCCCCTCCCCACTTGCAATTACCCCCTAACCCCCTCCCCACTTGCAATCACCCCCTTGCCCCCTTCCCACTTGCAATCAGCCCCCCTCCCCACTTGCAATCACCACCCTCTCCCCACTTGCAATTACCCCCTAGCCCCCTCCCCACTTGCAATCACCCCCTTGCGCCCCTCCCCACTTGCAATTAACCCCTCCCCACTTGCAATCACCCCCTTGCCCCCTCCTCACTTGCAATCAGCCCCCTCGCCCCCTCCCCACTTGCAATCACTCCTTCACCCCCTCCCCCATGTGCAATGACCCCCTCTCGCCCTCGCCCCCCCTCGCCCCCTCCCCACTTGCAATCACCCCCTCCCCACTTGCAATTACCCCCTAACCCCCTCCCCACTTGCAATCACCCCCTTGCCCCCTTCCCACTTGCAATCAGCCCCCTCCCCACTTGCAATCACCCCCTCCCCACTTGCAATTACCCCCTAGCCCCCTCCCCACTTGCAATCACCCCCTTGCCCCCCCCCACTTGCAATTACCCCTCCCCACTTGCAATCACCCCCTTGCCCCCTCCTCACTTGCAATCAGCCCCCTCGCCCCCTCCCCACTTGCAATCACTCCTTCACCCCCCTCCCCATGTGCAATGCCCCCTCTCGCCCCCTCGCCCCCTCCCCACTTGCAATCACCCCCTCCCCACTTGCAATTACCCCCTAACCCCCTCCCCACTTGCAATCACCCCCTTGCCCCCTTCCCACTTGCAATCAGCCCCCTCCCCACTTGCAATCACCCCCTCCCCCACTTGCAATTACCCCCTAGCCCCCTCCCCACTTGCAATCACCCCCTTGCCCCCTCCCCACTTGCAATTACCCCCTAGCCCCCTCCCCACTTGCAATCACCCCCTTGCCCCTCCTCACTTGCAATCAGCCCCCTCGCCCCCTCCCCACTTGCAATCACTCCTTCACCCCCTCCCCCCCCATGTGCAATGACCCCCTCTCGCCCCTCGCCCCCTCCCCACTTGCAATCACCCCCTCCCCACTTGCAATTACCCCCTAACCCCCTCCCCACTTGCAATCACCCCCTTGCCCCCTTCCCACTTGCAATCAGCCCCCTCCCCACTTGCAATCACCCCCTCCCCACTTGCAATTACCCCCTAGCCCCCTCCCCACTTGCAATCAGCCCCCTCGCCCCCTCCCCACTTGCAATTACCCCCTAGCCCCCTCCCCACTTGCAATCACCCCCTTGCCCCCTCCTCACTTGCAATCAGCCCCCTCGCCCCCTCCCCACTTGCAATCACTCCTTCACCCCCTCCCCCCCCATGTGCAATGACCCCCTCTCCCCCCTCGCCCCCCTCCCCACTTGCAATCACCCCCTCCCCACTTGCAATTACCCCCTAACCCCCCTCCCCACTTGCAATCACCCCCCTTGCCCCCTTCCCACTTGCAATCAGCCCCCTCCCCACTTGCAATCACCCCCTCCCCACTTGCAATTACCCCCTAGCCCCCTCCCCACTTGCAATCACCCCCTTGCCCCCCCCCACTTGCAATCAGCCACCTCGCCCCCTCCCCACTTGTAATCACTCCTTCACCCCCTCCCCATTTGCAATGACCCCCTCTCGCCCCTCTCCCCACTTGAAATCAGCCCCTAGCCCCCTCTCCATTTGCAATCACCCTACCATACTTAGAGGGCCAACCTCGACCCCCTTAATTGGGGGGCTGAGCCCACCCTGTTGAATCCCCCCGCAGCACGTCTGGAGAGAGAGACCCAGGCCCATTGGAGGAGGGGGGGCGTCGCCAGAGGTCCCCAGCCTCCTTTCCCCCCTCCCTCCCTATTCCTCCCTTCCTCCCCCCCTCCCATTGCCGCCTCTCCAGTCTTAAAAATGTCTGTGCCTCGCTTCCCGCTGGCCCCCATCGGAGGTAGCGTGGCCGAGCGGTCTAAGGCGCTGGATTTAGGCTCCATCCCTCCGGGGGCGTGGGTTCGAATCCCACCGCTGCCAGATGGTTTTCTTCCCCCGAGGCTTTTGTTAGAGCGGACGAGGCTTCTCCGGACACGGGAAAGAAAGAAGCGGGTCGGTCTCCACGGGCGAACACGTTTCGAAACGCCCCACACACAGTGTTTTTTTTTAACGGGAATCCAAGCGTGCAAAATCACCCTTATGTAGAACTTTTCGCGCTACGTTTTCCTAACCGGCGTTGGTGGTATAGTGGTGAGCATAGCTGCCTTCCAAGCAGTTGACCCGGGTTCGATTCCCGGCCAACGCAGCTTTCTTTTAATCTCTCCCTCCTTTTTGCAATTAATTTTTCTTTGCAGAATATATATATATATTTCCCCCCCCCCCGCCCCAATTCGTAAGACGCTTCTCCCCCCCCCAATCCGGCAGCGCGAGAGACGCCCCCTGCTGGCCTGTGGAATCCGAGCGAAAAAAAACATATTTTTCCAGGAAGCAACGTTCCCAAGCCAGGAAAAGGGGAAGGCAAACGCCCAAGAAATGGAAATAATTCTAATTATTTCTTGGCTTCTATTGCCAGATAATTGAAGGGCGTGCAATAAGGTGGAGAAAAGTGTGCAGCCTTCTTGGAAGAGGGATTTTCGGTTTTGTGGGACTGGCCTACCTCGCAGGGTGTCGTGCCGCAGGATTTGCTGCAGGGGGAGGATGGGAAGGGAAGGACCCCATTGGAAAGGTGCAAAATAATAATAATAATATATTAATCATTTAAATCATCATCGTCTTCTTTTAAAGACCCCATAATTCCTTGCAGAGTGGAGTCTGGGCAACTGAATGGAGCTGAGTGTTTTAATGGCCGGATGCCTTTCTTATCACCAATGAGGAGTTTTGTTCAGCAGCTATATTCTCATTGCGTCCAGAGAGAGAGAAATATCTGCCTCTACCTACCTCACATTAATCATTTTAATGACCGTTCACAATTACGGTTACCGTTACAGTGACTGACGACCCCTTTTTCACACTTAGCGACCGTTGCAGCAGCATCCGCATGAGTCACGCGATCAAAAATTCGGGCACTTGGCAACGGGTTCATAATTAGGACGGTCGCAGTGTCGGGCGATTTCCCCCTTCTGCAGCCTTCGGATGAGCAAAGTCAGAAGAGGAAGCCAAGAATCGCTTAACAACCTCGTCGCTAACTGAACAAAACTGCGGTGGTTGGCTTAAACAACCGCTGTGGCAAGAGAGGTCGTAAAACGAGGCAAGAGTGAACAAATTCATTTCACGAAAGTCTTGCTTAGTAACAGAGACATTGGCTCAATTGTGGTCATAAGTCGAGGACTACCTTTACCTTGGGGGGGGAAGGGTCAACTGCTCCTGCCTCTGGAGGGTTGATCTTCTCAGCTGTTGCAAAAGTTGCTTCTCTGTGTAGACAAATCCATTCACACAGACCCAAGAATCTCCTGCAGTGTTTTTCGACAACTTGAAGACGGGTGGACTTCAACTCCCAGAATCCCCTAGGCAAGCATGCTGGGGAAGGGGCGGGGTTAGGGCGGGACTTCCTTTTTCTTTTGCCCATTGGATTCCTTAAAATACAGGAAGTCCTTAAACTTCACTATTCACTTAGGGACGGTTCAAAGTTACAATGACACTGAACAGTGTGACTTAGGATAGGTCCTCGCACTTATGACCGTCAGAGCTTTTCCAGTAATTTGGCTGCTTAGCAACATGTCCTGGGATCACATGGTCACTATTTGCAACCCAGCCATTTCTCAATGAGCGAAGTCAATAAGAAAGGTGGATACATGATGCCTCGCTTAACGACCGTGGCAAAAAAGGTTGTAAAATCAGGTCATGCGATGCGTCATTTAATGACCGCTCTGCTTAACAAAGAATTTTTCGTACCGGTGTTCGAGGCAGCCTGATTTGCACCCGTGACAGTCAGATGATTTAATGAGCCTGGTGGGCTTGCGGCCTTAATTTTACGACTCTGGGAATGACCCCAGGAAGTGAAACTGACCACAAAGGGTGCAAAAATGATGAAAACGGAACAGAACGGGAAATGAAAATGGCGGTGTTCGCCACCCATGGCAACTGTTAAGACGAGTGGGGAACAGTGGGCCTTTTGTGACTCGTGGACTTCAACTCCCAGAATTCCTGAGCCAACATGGGGAACAGTGGCCCCTTTATGACTTGTGGACTTCATTTCCCAGAATTCCTGAGCCAACATGGGGAACGGTGGCCCCTTTATATGACTCGTGACTTCAACTCCCAGAATTCCTGAGCCAACATGGGGAACGGTGGCCCCTTTATGACTCGTGGACTTCAACTCCCAGAATTCCTGAGCCAACATGGGGAACGGTGGCCCCTTTATGACTTGTGGACTTCAACTCCAGAATTCCTGAGCCAACATGGGGAACGGTGGTCCCTTTATGACTTGTGGACTCCAACTCCCAGAATTCCTGAGCCAACATGGGGAACGGTGGTCCCTTTACGACTTGTGGACTCCAACTCCCAGAATTCCTGAGCCAACATGGGGAACGGTGGCCCTTTATGACTTGGGGACTTCAACTCCCAGAATTCCTGAGCCAACATGGGGAACGGTGGCCCCTTTATGACTTGTGGACTTCATTTCCCAGAATTCCTGAGCCAACATGGGGAACTGGCCCCTTTATGACTCGTGGACTTCAACTCCCAGAATTCCTGAGCCAACATGGGGAACGGTGGCCCCTTTATGACTCGTGGACTTCAACTCCCAGAATTCCTGAGCCAACATGGGGAACGGTGGCCCCTTTATGACTTGTGGACTTCAACTCCCAGAATTCCTGAGCCAACATGGGGAACGGTGGTCCCTTTATGACTTGTGGACTCCAACTCCCAGAATTCCTGAGCCAACATGGGGAACGGTGGTCCCTTTACGACTTGTGGACTCCAACTCCCAGAATTCCTGAGCCAACATGGGGAACGGTGGTCCCTTTATGACTTGGGGACTTCAACTCCCAGAATTCCTGAGCCAACATGGGGAACGATGGCCCCTTTATGACTTGTGGACTCCAACTCCCAGAATTCCTGAGCCAACATGGGGAACGGTGGTCCCTTTATGACTTGTGGACTTCAATTCCCAGAATTCCTGAGCCAACATGGGGAACGGTGGTCCCTTTATGACTTGTGGACTTCAATTCCCAGAATTCCTGAGCCAACATGGGAACGGTGGTCCCTTTATGACTTCGGGACTTCAACTCCCAGAATTCCTGAGCCAACATGGGGAACGGTGGCCCCTTTATGACTCGTGGACTTCAATTCCCAGAATTCCTGAGCCAACATGGGAACGGTGGTCCCTTTATGACTTGTGGACTTCAATTCCCAGAATTCCTGAGCCAACATGGGGAACGGTGGCCCCTTTATGACTTGTGGACTTCAACTCCCAGAATTCCTGAGCCAACATGGGGAACGGTGGCCCCTTTATGACTTGTGGACTTCAATTCCCAGAATTCCTGAGCCAACATGGGGAACGGTGGCCCCTTTATGACTTGTGGACTTCAACTCCCAGAATTCCTGAGCCAACATGGGGAACGGTGGCCCCTTTATGACTTGTGGACTTCAACTCCCAGAATTCCTGAGCCAACATGGGAACGGTGGTCCCTTTATGACTTGTGGACTTCAATTCCCAGAATTCCTGAGCCAACATGGGGAACGGTGGCCCCTTTATGATTGTGGACTTCAACTCCCAGAATTCCTGAGCCAACATGGGGAACGGTGGCCCCTTTATGACTTGTGGACTTCAACTCCCAGAATTCCTGAGCCAGCTGGCTCAGGAATTCTGGGAGTTGAAGTCCACAAGTCATAAAGGGCCATCATACCCCACCTGTTTTAAGAAGTCTGGACTTCAACTCCCAGAATTCCCCCAGCCAGTTTTCACAAACTTCCTGACTATAAGAGGGGGCAGTGCCCCCCCCCCGGAACAATCTATAACACAAGGGCCACCCCGGAGACTTGTCACCCCCCCCAAAAAAAACTCTTGCAATCCTGAGGTCCCCAGTTCTGATCATACTGGAGGCAGCCCATTAGTCGTAAAACAGTCAATCAATCTTGTCACCAATCGGATTTCCCTCCCCTCTTTTTGAGGTTGTTGTTAAGCAAACGTCATGGTCGTTAAGCGAACTAATGCTTTGTTATGCAGTATTGCTGAAAAATGGAAGCGGCAGCTAGTTTTAGACAAAATTGTTGTAAAACGTGACGGACCCCACCGCAAGACACCGGTAAATGCGACTCTTGTCCAATGCCTGAAGGTGCAGGAGTGTGTGTCACATGACGACAAAGACACACATACTCCCGAAACCGTTGGAAGTTCGGGTCTGGGTTAAGTCCCCCTTTTTTGAAGTCTGTCGTAACTTTGAACGGTCAGTAAGCGAGCGGAACGTTAAGTCGAGGGCCGCCTGTTTTTTTGAAAGAGAAAAACACACACACACCTCCTCCCCATTTGCACAATTTCAAACTTCGGAACGGACACTCACGAAGTCAACCGTTAGTAGAAAAGTTTTATTTTTTATTTTATTTTTTTTGTCCAGAAAGTTACCAATTTTGCAGAGGGGGAAAAAAAAAAAAAAAAAAAGCAAGAATCTCAACTTCAAACGCTCAACGAAAGAATGTCGCTTTGACAGCCTTGTTTCGCTCCTTCCTTCCTCCCTCCGTCGCCGGGAGGTGGGTTGACTACCGTCCCGCTGCCGCATCAAAGCCTCTCAGCCCCCCCCACCCCCGCCCTCTGAACCCCCCCCCCACTAGCGGAAAGAAGCAAAAAGAACCAGGGGAAAAAAAACTGGAATTTTTTTTTTTTTAAAACACATGCTATGCAGGACTCAAAAGAAAACTCAGAGCGCGAAACCAGGCTTACAACACCCCCCCCCCCGAGTTAAAAACAAGGTCAGTGTGAGAGTTTTGGGGGGCTCGGGCGCCCCTCCCGCTCCCCACGAGTGGAAGTGAAGACACACAATGCAAGTCAAGAAACCTATAGTTTTTTTCCAACATAAATAAATCCCAACCGGATACAACAGAGAACCTATTACGGAGGTCCAAGCTTGCCCATGGGGGAAAATTGGGGGGGTGGGGGGGGGGTTTCAGCAGGAATTGGGGTAACAAGCCCCTCCCTCCCTAAAACAGGTACAGGTTGTGCGGGTTTATTAGGAAATCTACGCAATCGTTTTACAAGGTTGGCTGGTTTTTTTTTTTTTTTCCTTTCTGAAAGGGTAAGAAACAGGCAGAAAAGAACAGTCGGAAGAATCGTCTCCAAAAGCAGGACCACCGAGAGGGGGCGCTGAATTAAGACACCCCCCTCATGGCCACCTCTATAAAAATCTTGAGTTTTCCTTTGGCAACTGGGCAGGTCAGCCGTCCGTCCCCGTCCCCCCCCAAAAGGACTCTCGAGTGTTCTGCCCCGCCGCCCCAAAATGTCCAGATTTCCCAACAAATCGTCGTCACCCCGCCGTCGCGCCCCAACTCCTCTCCGGCCGGACAGGAGCCCCTTCAGTTCTCTTCGTCGCTGTCGTCTGGACTGATGGCCGGGCTGGTGAGGCTGTAGGTCGGCGACGTGGGGCTGTAGCCGGGAGAGGTCGGGGAGTAGGTGGAGCCTTTGGGGGAGGTGGGCGAGTAGGTGGGCGAGGTCGGGCTGTACTTGGGGGAGGTGGGCGAGTAGGTGGGCGAAGTCGGGCTGTACTTGGGCGACGTCGGGGTGTAGACGGGCGACGTCGGCGAGTAGGTGGGGCTCGTCGGGCTGTATTTCGGCGTGGTCGGGCTGTAGGTGGGCGAAGTCGGGCTGTACTTGGGGCTGGTCGGGCTGTACTTGGGGCTAGTCGGGGTGTATTCCGGAGAGCTGGGGCTGTAGGATGGGCTGGTCGGGGTGTACTTGGGGCTGGTCGGGCTGTAGCTGGGCGAGCTGGGGCTGTAGCTAGGCGACGACGGGGTGTAAGTGGGGGACTGTGGGGTGTAGCGGGGGCTGGAGGGGGAGTAGCTGGGCGAGGTGGGACTGTAGGAAGGGCTGGTCGGGGAGTAACTGGGAGATGTCGGGCTGTAGTTTGGAGACGTCGGGGTGTAATTAGGAGAAGTCGGGCTGTAGCTGGGCGAAGTCGGGCTGTAGCTCGGAGAAGTTGGGGTGTAGTTTGGAGAGGTTGGGCTGTAATTAGGGCTGGTGGGGCTGTAGCTAGGGGAGGTTGGGCTGTAGCTGGGAGAAGTCGGGCTGTAGCTGGGCGACGTTGGGCTGTAGCTAGGACTGGTTGGGCTGTAGCTGGGCGATGTCGGGCTGTAGCTAGGACTGGTTGGGCTGTAGCTGGGCGACGTTGGGCTGTAGCTGGGTGACGTTGGGCTGTAGCTGGGGCTGGTTGGAGAATAACTAGGCGACGTCGGGCTGTAGCTGGGGCTAGTCGGGCTGTAGCTGGGCGACGTTGGGCTGTAACTGGGTGACGTCGGAGAGTAACTCGGGGAGGTGGGGCTGTAGCTGGGGCTGGTGGGGCTGTAATTCGGACTAGTTGGAGAGTACGAAGGAGAGGTAGGGCTGTAGGAAGGAGAGGTGGGGCTGTAGCTGGGGCTTTGCGGGGTGTACACCCCGGGCGAGCGTGGCTCGTAGGCGGGAGAGGTTGGGGAGTAGCTGGGAGACATGGCGCCCCCTGGAAAAGCAGAAGGAAAGCGACGTTAAGCCAGGATTCCACATTTTGAGGACGGCATCGGGAAGGAGAGCGGGACAGGGGTAGCCACGTACCTGGAGACGGAATATAAGGGCTGGAAGGTCCCGGAGAGCCGGGGGAGCCTGGGGTGGGCGACCAGGCAGGGGAATACCCGGGACTGTAACCGCTGGCATCGGAAGCCGCGCTGGGGGAGAAACTGGCGGCCCCGGGGGTCATTCCGCTCCCTGCAAAGAGGAGGGAAGAAAAGATGCAGTTGAGAGAGAAACCGGCCCCCTCATTTCCCTCTCATTTCTTTATTCCTTCCTTCCTCTCCCTTTTTCTCCTCCCTCCCTCCCTCCCTCTCCCCTTCCTTCCTTCCCTCCCCTCTCTCTTCCCTTCCTTTTCTTTCTCCCTTCCCCTTTAATGAAAACCGCCCGCATTCTTCTTCTCCCTTTGCTCTGAGCATCCTACAATGCTGATGTTGGCAGCCGGGAAGCCCCCTAGGGCCGACCCACCTCGGGCGAAGTGGGGGGTGGGGGGGGGCTGCATATTTGAAGTGCCCTGTAGATGAAGTGCTGCTCTCAAACTTCAACACCCACAATGGAATTCTCCGCTGAGGAAGCCAAGATTTTTTTTTTTAAAAAAAACAACTCGGCGTGCCGAGTTTCGCCGAACCTGGTTTTTTTATTACAAACGGACCTACAGAAATCGGAGAAATATTCCCCCCCCCCCGGAGGCGTATTTCCGTAATAAAAAAGATGTTGTGATTTGGGATCAGGTTCTCCCTGGATCCAATCGATTCTGCCCTTGATTGTTTTTGACGGACAAAAAAAAAAAAAAAATGAGCCCATCTGTAACAAACCACCATCGACGTAAACCGCTAAGCCAGGAAGGTGCAGTTTCTCTGCTGGAGGCCCGATACTTACCCACACTGGGTGACCAGGCGCCGTAGGCTGGCGTGGCACCTTGGTTCCACGGGGTTGTGGCCGGGGACACCCCGCCCATGGGGCTGGGCGCAGAGCCGAAGAACATGCCGGTAGCTGTAAGGGAAAGAAAGGAGGAGGGTGAGCTGGACCAGCGTATCCCCTGAGGAAGATGCTCGAGCGGTGAATAGGTTGGACGCCAAAGACGCATCTCGGCTGGCCCCAGATTTGTCTTCCAGATGTGGGGTGCGACCTTCCGACAAGCAAAGTCAAGGGGGAAAAGCCGGATTCACTTAAGCACCCTGTGGCTAATTTAAACCACTGCAGTGATTCACTTAACAAATGTGGCAAGGAAGGTCGTAAAAGGGGGCAAAAGCGACTTCACAAAAATGTCTCATTTAACAACAAGAAACGTTGGGCTCAATTGTGGTCGTAGGTTCGAGGACTGCCTCTGTACGGGTCAAGCCCGATTTGCAACCATTCGTTTAGTGGCCATTCAAAGTTCCGCAGCTGCTGGAAAAAAAAGTGATTTTATGACCTGCTCTCGCACTTATGACCGTTGCAGCAATCCCTAGGGTCACATGGTCAAAACATTTGTGGCCTTCCCAGCCAGCTTCCAACAAGCAACGTCCGTGAGGGAAGCCAGATTCGCTTCAACGACCGTGGGGTTCACTTAACAACAGTGAATCATTTGGTTAATGTCCGGGGCAAAAAGGACTATCAAATTGGATGTAACTCACTTAACAACCGCTTTGCTTAACAATGGAAATTCTGGTTGTAGATTGAGGACTACCTGGACGGCTAGGGAATTCTCGGGAGTTGAAAGTGGGAACTCAATTCTCCCACCCACCCACAATCCGAATGATAGGATTCCCAGCTCTTGCAATATGTGGGTGCCCCCCCCAGCCCCTCCCCCCTCTTTCCCGGACCCCCAAGAGAGGCAACCAAGACTTACGGCCCCCGACGCCCAGCCCGGTGATGTTGGTGGGAATCTCCATGCCAAATTTGCATTTTTCGGCGTCCAAAAGCAGGTCGAAGCAACCGGTGCCCGCAGGGGCCAGCTGTCCCAGCATGATGTTCTCCGAGACCCCTTTCATGGGGTCGCTCTCGCCATGGGCAGCCGCCTCCATCAAGACATCGACCTGGGGAAGGCAAGAAGAGCCCCGCGAGTGGGATTTGAGCCATGGGACCATGCCGGACCAAAACTCCCTTCCTCGGTCCCAGCTCGCAAATTTTTGGAGAGCAACTGTCGCAGTTGGGAGGGAAGAGTCAAACGAGGAATTAGCCTGGACTCACTATATCGTAGTAGAAACACAAGAGAGCTAAATCTCAACTCTGTCGAATACCCTTAGAGGAGGGGTGTCGAATTTGATTTCATTGAGGGCCACGTCAGGGTTGTGTTTGACCTGGCTGGAGGGGTGGCATGGTAGGCGTGGGCAGAGTGGATGTGGGTACCTCAACGTCGCTCGTGTCAGGGGCACCTGTGGTGGCCAAATGCTAAGGCAGGACTTCCCACAGACCCTCCCTCACTCTTCCATTATAATCTCCTTCCTTCTTTTTCCTCCCCTCTTCATTCTGCTTTCTTCTCCCTTCTCCTTTCCTTCCTTCGTCCCTTCTTTTTATTTATTTATTTATTTATTTATTATTTGTTTTTTATTTATTTATTTATTTATTTATTATTGATTGATTGATTGATTGGTTCGATTTATATGCCGCCCTTCTCCGGAGACTCAGGGCAGCTTACAATGGCTTGAGTCAAATTTTAAACTGATTTTAAATTGGAATTGTTTTAATTACGGCCAAAATATTTAATTATTTTAATCAGTTTTTAGATTTTGTATGTTTTGTATGTATGTCTTGTTTTTACTTTGGCTGTTCACCGCCCTGAGTCCTATATTGGAGAAGGGCGGTATAGAAATTTAAACAAACAAATAAATAAATAAATAAATGCGTTAAGCAATAGCCTTCATACTTTTTGTACATACCTGCTTAGTAGGGCTTTCGGCCCCCCGTAAGCGGTGTTCTATTTTATACAAAGTCAGCTTATTGCCCCCACAAACCGGGTCCTCATTTTACCTACCTCGGAAGGATGGAAGGCTGAGTCAACCTTGAGCCTGGTGAGAATTGAACTCGCAGTAATTGCAGGCAGCTGGCAACTAAGTGCTACTTAACAGAACTTTAGTCCGCTGCACCACCATGGCTTTTTCTCCCCTCTTTCTCCTTTCCTGTCCCTTCTTGCATGCTCAAATGCAAAAGGAGAAATGTTTCTCCTTGTTTGAGTTTGTTTTTGCCCGCAAAAATGGAGCTCGGGGTGGGGGGTGGGGGGCAGGGCATGCGGGCAGTCCCCTGAGCTCCGTTTTCGCTGGCGAGAGGCACCGCGGGCCACTCCTTTGCTGTTTTCAGGGCCTAAGCACCCCACGGTACGGATACGGCCCCGCGGGCCCTTGAGAGTTTGACACCCCCTGCCTTAGAGCTTTATCTGGTCTTTCCAGGCAGGAGATGCGACTCTGGGGACGATTCTTGTATCGTAGGCAGAAAGCAATAAAGTAGAGGGTTCGAACTCTACGCAGGCGGGTCTGGTCGTTCAAACTCACCGTCTCTTCGAAGGAGCATTTCATGAGCGGCCCCGTGTCCTGGCGGTTGACGCCGTGACGCGTGATGGCCATCAAGTGCCCGCGGCAGGTCATGGTGTCGCAGAGCAGGGCCAAGTGGCGGTAGTTGACGTAGGAGCCGTCGAAGGAGATGACGTGGTACAGCTCCCGTTCCAGGGCCTTCCTCACCGCCTCAATTCCCAGCACCTGTTTTAACGAGGGAAGACGGATTTTCAGGGTCGCCTGGCGCTCTACAGGAAAACACCCCCATTATCCCAACCCCAAGGAAACGCCTCGCCCGCTTGGGGCTCACCGTGAAAATCTCCACGATGTCGTTGGAGGTGGTGCGCACGGGGTCCACGTCTTTCTCGCTCAGCACGCGCATGAGGCTCACGCCGTCCGTTTCCAGGATCCACTCCTGGAGGGCTTTGAACTCGCCGTCTTCCGTGATTATGATTTTCTTCTTGTTGTCGGTCTGGGGCAGGTGCATGTACACCTGAGGGAGGAGGAGGAGGAGGAGGCTGGTGAATTAACAAGGCCAGCAACCCTGGTGGGATGGGGGAAAAGGTAGGGATTTTGGGGGGAAGGGGGAGCCGCCGTTAGGAGAGGCCTCCCGCCCTCACCTTGCTGATTTGCTCAATGCCTTGAAGGGTCATGTCCGTCAGCATGTTGGATTCGATGCAGCGCAGGAAAACGTCGTCGTCCATCTTGTCCACCACCTCTTCCTCCTAAGCCACCAGAGAAGAAAGGCCGTTTTCTCATGGACCACACATCCAGTACAAGAAGGCAGGGGGGGGTGGTCTCCAACTTTGGCAACTTTGCGACTTGTGGACCTCAACTCCCAGAATTCTGGGAGTCGAAGTCCACAAGTCGTATAGTTGCCAAGGTGGAAGGCCCCTGGTGTAAGGGCTGCGACAACCCCAGTGTAGGGCAGAAGACTAGCAGAGCGCATCCATGAACAACCGATTAGCACGTGGACAGACTCAACCACAGTTTCCACTGTGTAACTGACAGTCAAGTCCAAACACACTAGGGAATTCATGGAACTCGGACAAATTAGCCATCAACAGGCACACAGGGATAAACCAGGTTTACACACCATTCCAAAGAGACAATAAAATCTACAGCATGTAATGTAAGAACTGTAACAGCCACACTGTAGGACAATCAGGCAGAAGGTTAGCAAAGCACATCCATGAACACCAACTAGAAGACACAACGAAGACACTCGCACAACGCACATGGGCAGAGTCCACCCTAATTTCTACTGTGAGCATGCTAGACCAAACAAAATCCAAAAACCCCAAGGGAATTCCTGGAACTCAGACAAATCAGCCATCAACAGACACACAGGGATAAACCACGTTTACACACCATTCAAAAGAGACAATAAAGTCTACAGCATGTAATGTAAAGACTGTAGAGCCCCACTGTAGGACAAAATCAGGCAGAAGATTAACAAAGCACATTCATGTACACCAGTTGGAGGACACAATGAAGACACAACACATAGACAACCTGGAAACCTGGTTCCAGACTATGTAGGTCTGTTGGCACTGCCATGGACAGTGGAACCGAGGCTGCCTTTGACTCAAGACCATCTGCCCCAAGCTGACCTGGAAGTCACGAATGCCCACCCACCCATCTGAAATGTGTGAGCTGGCCAAGGCTACTCTGAGGAGGTATCTGCTTCCTTCAGCCTGGCAATCGTACCCGCTTCCCGTCAACTCCAATCCCCAGAGGTTTAATGATAAGAGGACTGCCTTCCCCACCTCCTGCATCTTGTTCTCGTCGCTGTTCATGATTCGAATGCGCAGCACCAGCTTCTCAGCGTTGTCGTCGTTGAAGATGCAGTTGAGGTCATCTCCAAAGCCTACGGGAGGAGAAGGGTTGTCCATGGGCTGCCGGTGGACCAGGGGAGGCAAAGGACAGAGCGAACTCCGGCCATCAACCCAACCCCATCTCACCGGCATTGATCTTCTCGGCGATCTGTTCCATGGTGAGCTTTCGGTCCGTCATGTGTTTGCGGTCCAACTCCACCCTCAGCAGCCAAGGGGAGATGCGGGTGACGTCGAAGTCGGGCATCTCATAGTAAACGTTCACCCACTCCTGGTCCTCGGCCACCACGGTGTTCTGAGGGTTGGGGTCGTAGTAGATGGCCGTGTTGGCCGTCACCTTGCGAAGGGTGGTATGCTCCAAGCGGCAAAGGATGTCCTGGAATGGAGACACGGGAAGACGGTGAGGCTGGAGAGTCAAACCTTGGAAGCTACTTTCTTGGGGAGGTCTACAATGGATGTGTGGCCACCCATTTCCAGTTGGCTCTCAAAAGATCATCATCATCATCTTCTTCTTTTAATGACTCCATAATCCCTTGCAGGGTGGAATCTGGGCAACTAAATGGGGCCGAGTGTTTACTGGCCAGATGCCTTTCCAGTCACCAATGCGGAGTTTATTCCACCCCCCCCACCCCAGAAGATATATTCTCATTGTGGCCACAAAGAAATATCTGCCTCTACCTAGGATCGAACTCACAGCCTGCTGATTGTGAGAGGAGAGCTTCATCTTGATGGAGGGAGAAAATGTGGAGGGCCCAACCCACCATCTTCAGGCTAAGAGTTGGGAGAGAGACCTCCAGCATGGGGGTGCAGGAACCTTCTGAGATTCCCTCATACTCCACAGCCAAGGCCAACTTCACTCCCATCCCTTCTTCCCTCTCCTCACCTTGGCCCTCTCAGCGTCCCGGGCGGACTGTCCCAGGAGGAAGACCGTCAGAGAAGGGGTCTTGGGTTTTTTGGAAATGTTGATCAGTTCCTTCAGCCGAGGCACCCCCAGGGTCACGTTTTTGGCAGAGACCCCAGCATAGTGGAAAGTGTTGAGGGTCATCTGGGTGGCAGGTTCTCCCAGGGACTGGGCGGCCAAGGCCCCCACCATCTCACCAGGATGGGCCTGTGGAAAAAACATGACAGCTAGGAATATCGCCTGGACTTTAGACCGAACTTTTGACGGCTCGTTGGTTTGGGAAGTCAAAAAGAGGGCTGTGAAAATATCTACAGACCCCTCACATCCTGGACATAAATTGTTTCAACTTCTACCCTCAAAACAACGTTAATAGTATAGGGCATTGCACACCAGAATAACTAGACACAAGGAGTTTTTTCCTCCGAACGCCATCCCTCTGCTAAACAACAAATTCCCACAACACTGTCAAACCCTTTACTAAGACTGCATTACTATTCTTCTTCTCATCCTTTTTAAGAGGACTGGACAACCACTTGTCTGAAACGGTATAGGGTTTCCTGCTTGAGCAAGGGGTTGGACTAGAAGACCTCCAAGGTCCCTTCCAGCTCTATTTTGATCGATTTAAAACCAACATCAGGCCATCTTGGAGGAGCTGAGCTACTTAAAAATGGAGGAGAATAGCTTCCTAACCCCTTGTGGATTCAATTACAGGAAAGGGAGCAAGAAAAGCCAAGAGAAATGATGAATCTCGGCCTCGTCCCAAGGAGATTCCGGCCGTCTTCTGACCCGTTTTAAAAGCCAGGGCAAAATTTTCCACCCTTAAAAGCAACTCAAGAATTGTTTATTTCCCATCCTGAAAAACCCGAGCTGGGGCAGAGCAAGGAATCCTGGGCCATTTTTGGGGGTCCCAGTGGGCCCACTCCTTGGCTAGGCTAGGCTCACCCCCACCCCCCCAAGGGAGAGGTTTTGCCTCCCCTCCCTTCCTCCCCCACTGTTTCCACAGCTGCTCAAATTGGAAAGAAGAACGTGCAAAAAAAAAAAGGGGGAAGTTTATAGACTTTCAAGGCAGAACTTAAAAGTAGATCCCGGGAACTGAAAACAGCTGGGTTTCACTTCTTCCTACAGCCTTTTTTTTGATGGACAGGTGAGTTTCCTTTTCTTGTGTGTGTGTGTATGTGTGTGTGTCTTGGTCTGTAACTCACAATGGCCTGGTTGAACTTGGATTCGATTTCTCCCAGCAGCCAGTCGAAGGCTTCTCCGCTCAGCCGGAATTCCTCAATCATACGACGGCTGCAGAGGGTGGAACGTAGGTGGATGTTGAACAGCAGGGTAGCGTTTTCCTGGGCCTGCTTGCTCAGTGGGTCGTCGCCATTCACAATCACCAGTTTCTTGCTCAGCTCCTTCACGCCTAGGAAGGAAGGAAGGAAGGAAGGAAGGAAGGAAGGAAGGAGAAAGACACAGATTTAAAAAAAAAAATTATTTAGAAAATTTAAAATAGTCAGTCCTCGACTTACAACCGTTCGTTTAGTGACCAAAGTTACAACGGCACTGGGGAAAAAAAGTGACTTAGGATCGTTTTTCGCACTTAACGACCGTGGGCACGTGATCAAAATTCGGGCGCTTGGCAAAGCGACTCGTATTTATGACAGTTGCCGCATCCCGGGGTCAGGTGATCCTGTTTTGCGACCTTGACAAGCAAAAGACTACGGGAAAAGCCAGATTCGCTTAAGGACCGTGTTAACAACTGCCGTGATTCACTTAACAATGATGGCAGGAAAGGTCGTAAAACGGAGCAAAGCTCACTGAAGAAATGTTTCCCTTAACAACAGAAACTTTGGGGCTCAATTGAGGCCATAAGACGAGGGACAGATGTACAGCCGCCGCCTCCCTCACAGGGGCTCTAGGCAGCTTACAGACGATTAAAAACACAAAGTAGAGACCATAAAAAATAAATAAAAAAATAAAATAAAGCAATAATAAAATTATAACCCACCCACTCCCTCGGCGACAACACACACTCAAATTGGCCATTTCAAGGCCTCCATCCCAACTCTGGCTTCTCCAGGTTTCAGGGCCTTACAAAAGAGTGCCAGAGCGGCAGCCAGTCTTCATTCCTGCAGGGTTGTTGTTCCAAAGGGAGGGAGCCACCACAGAAAAGGCCCTTCTTCTGGGTGCCGCCCAGTGGTGGGCTGCTAACCACCGGTTCGCCCGAATTGGCAGCAGCCCACCACTCCTTAGGGGAAGAGATCCCCAACATTCCTTGCCTCCCCCGCTCTAGTGGGTCGGATGGATTCCCACGAGGAGCAAACCCCAGCTGCTCCTGCCCCCCCCTTCTTCTGAGGTGCCCAACCTGAATGATCTGCCAGCTCAGAAAAACCAGAGATGGGTCCCCCCCCTCACTGGTTTCTCAGGGTCCAAAACTCCTCCTTTCTCGGCAGAGGGAAGTGTTGCTTTCTCCCTCCCTCCCAAACTCACCTTCCACCACCTTGATGGGGTGCAGGTCGGAGGGGAGACGCGTATTGATGTGGAAAATTTTCTGGGCGTTCCAGATCATACGAAGCAGGTTGCAGGGGAGGACGACCTGCAAGGGGAGGGAAAGGAACGCAGGTTAATATCGCTTTTCTAAAGCCTTGGTAAGGCTGCCCTTGTTGGAATCCTGCATCCAGTTTGGGTCCCCACGTTACAAAAAAAAAAAAAAAAAGACGTCGAGACTCTGGAAAAAGTGCAGAGAGAAGAGCAACTACCGTGTTTCCCAGAGGTGGGTTTCAGCAGGTTCTGACCGAACTGGTAGCGGAAATTTTGAGTAATTTGGAGAAACGGTAGTAAAAATTCTAACTAGCCCCGCCCCCATCGATTCTCTGCCTCCCAAGTCTCGGCTGATTGGGAGGAAATGGGGATTTTGCAGTAACCTTCCCCTGCCACACCCACCAAGCCACACCCACCACTGGTGTTTCCCCAAAAATATGACCTACCCCGGAAGTAAGTCCTGGCTTGATTTTTTTACACGTGCGCCCAAAATAAGCCCTAATTAAGACCCCGCCCACTCCAGGGTGCATGAGTAAAAATTAAGCTAGGGGATGGGGGGAAGAGGGTGGAGCTGCCCTACTAACCTTCCGACAGTTGCATCCAGATGTTACACCCCCCCCAACATCTGCCTTGCCGGCCCATTTCTTCTGCATCCAGCATGGCTTTCCTGAAGGCCCCTGCAGCCGATAACAGAGCTCCGGATCGATTCAGAACTGTGATCGGCTGCAGAGGCCTTCAGGTTAAGCCTTGCCGGCCTTAGAAGAAGTTCCTGAAGGCCTCCGACAGTGAAAAGGACGCCTAGGGGTGATGCACACACACCGAAAATAAGACCTGGTGCCTTTTTTTTTTGATGGCCAAAAAAGAAAAAAAGAAAGAAATGCATATAAGACAGGGTCTTATTTTTGGGGAAACACAGTAGGATGATTAAGGGGCTGGAGGCTAAAACATACAAAGAACGGTTGCGGGAATTGGGGGTGCCTAGTTTAACGAAAAGGAGGACTAGGAGCCTTGGTGGCACAGCGGATTAAAGTGCTATTAAGTAGCACTTAGCTGCCAGCTGCCTGCAATTACTGCGAGTTCGAATCTCACCAGGCTCAAGGTTGACTCAGCCTTCCATCCTTCCGAGGTAGGTAAAATGAGGACCCGGATTGTGGAGGCAATAAGCTGACTTTGTATAAAAAAGAACACGGCTTTGGGGGGGCCGAAAGCCTTACTAAGCAGGTATATACAAAAAGTATGAAGGTTATTGCTTAACGCATTGTAAGCCACCCTGAGTCTCCGGAGAAGGGCGGCATATAAATCGAACCAATAAATAAATAAACAAACAAACAAACAAACATGATAGCTGTCTTCCAACCAAACGTGGCGAGAAGAGCGACTAAGTTGATAAAAGGCTTGGAGACAAAAAAAAAGGAAAGAAAGGGGGAAAAAAAACAGCTGCAGGAATTTCGGTATGGCTAGAGCAACTCAGGGTGACAGGATAACCAAAATTCCAATATTTGAGGGGCTGCCCCAAAGAAGAGGGGGTCTGCCTATTTTCAAAGGGGTCAGCCTGTTGTCCACAGCACCCGAAGGCAGGACAAGAAGCAACGGATGGAAACTAATCAAGGAGAGAAGCAACCTGGAATCAAAGAAGAAACTTCCCAACAGCAAGGACAATTAACCAGTGGAACTGCCTGCCACCAGAAGTTGTGGGTGCTCCATCACTGGAGGCTTTTTAAGAAGAGACTGGACTACCATTTACCTGAAATGGCAGAGGTATCTCCTGCTTGAGCAGAGGGTTGGACTAGAAGGCCTCCAAGGTCCCTTCCAACTGTTATTCTGATAACACCTGTCCCCTAGCATCCCGTGGACCAAGTTAACGTCCACAGGTGTCTCTTTCTGTGACGCATTCCATATAAACCCCAAATGGCAGAGAAACGGACTTGTTCCTCAGTCGTGTGAATGGGGGGAAGCCAGCAAGGAGCCTGGCCATCCACGCACTCTCTTCTGCCAATCAAGGGGAATGTGGTAAAAAGAGGGAGCCCTGGGGATGTACGCGCCACAGGAGCGGAGCTGGGGCAGGTGAGCGGCCACAGCCTCACCTTGCTGTCTCCTGTGGGGAAGATAACCCTCAACACGTCCCGGTCCTCCCTCATCTTCTCAAACTCCCTCTCCAGCTCGTTCTGGATGTGGGCGTTGCTGAGGATGTCCTTCACCATCTCCTCCTGCAGGGTGCGGCGCAGAGCCCGCTCGTTGGTGTAATCAAACTTGAACCTGGAAAGAGGGAAGTCAAACGGAGGATGGAGATATATATATATATATATATATGTGTGTATAGTTAATACTTCGGGTTTCTTCCCGTGTAATTGTGAACATATCCCTAAAAGGGTAGAAGCGACGTTTCGACAGAATCTCATCTGCCATCATCAGGCTTATGTGAAGGGACTTTGGGCGGTCAATCACCAGGAGACGGTGAGTTCTAGTCCTACTCGAGGCACCAAAGCCAACCGGGTGACTTTAGGCCAATGATCTGGAGATGGTGAATTCTAGTCCTGCCCTTAGGCACGAAAGCTGGCTTGCAAGTCTTTGGGCCAACCACCAGGAGATGGTGAGTTCTAGTCCCGCCGTAGGCGTGAAAACTGGTTTTTTTTGGGGGGGGGGGCTTTATGCCAATCCCCCTCTCTCAGCCCCACCTCTCCTCACAGGGTTGTTGTTGGGGGAAAAAATAGGAGGAGAAAGGATAGTTGGATCTGTTCGCCACCTTGAATCTATCTATATAAAAATGGCTGTGTGTATTTGTGTGTGTATGTTCCAGCATAACTCTGGAATGCCTCGAGCAATTTCAATTAAACTCGGTACACAGATGACTTACTCTCTGGAAAGAAATACTTTGGGGGTAAGACATCCCTAACACCCCTCGGGGTGTGTGTGTTTGTTTGTCTGTGTGTGTATGTTCCAGCATAACTCTGGAATGCCTGAGCTGCTGAAATGAAAACGAATGAACTATATCTATAGTGTCAAATCACAGTACTTTTGACAGCGATAGTGTGCATTTTGGATTCAAGTTCTGTTAAGATACAGCCTGTTGTGCCTTAAAATGGCTTCTACTGTACAGCACAATGGAGTTGCCATGGTAACGGCTTCATAGTACTCCACAAGGGGGCTCCCTCTGGTAAGGAGGATTGAGATAAATAAATACCCGGGCAACGCTAGTTATTTATAGAAATGAATCTTGAGCAGCTTTCTCCAAAAGGAAAATCAGCGCCCCTTGCAAAGAAACACAGGAGACCCCAACAAATACAGAGTGACCCCCCCCCGGGGGCCACCCCTCAGCTCAAAGGACTCACTTCTTCTCAAAAGCTTTGTTGGAAGGCTTGAGGGTGGCCAGATTCTGGAACTCCACGCTCTCTCCGGCCAGCCCATCCTCGCCGTAACGCAGCTGCACCACCTGGTTGATGGAGTTGCGGACGGTGGCGTCGTACTTCACCATGACCGACTCCATGGATTTGATCAGCCGACGCTGGATGTAACCTGGTAAGAAGTGGAGAAGATCAGAGTAACAGAGTAAGAGAGTTGGAAGGGACCTTGGAGCTCTTCTAGTCCAACCCCCTGCTCAAGCAGGAAAACCTATATCGTTTCAGTCAAATGGCTGTCCAGTCTTTTCTTAAAAGTCTCCAGTGATGGAGCCCCCACAACTTCTGGTGGCAAGCTGTTCCACCAGTTAATTATCCTCACTGTTAGGAAGTTTCTCCTTAATTCCAGGCTGCTTCTCTGCTTGATGAGTTTTTCCATCTGCTGCTTCTTGTCCTGCCTTTGGGTACTTTGGAAAATGAATTGGCCCCCTCTTCTTTGTGGCAGCCCCTCAAATATTGAAGAGTCCAGGGAGGTTCCGAATTTGTGACTTGGTGTAGAGGGATTGCCTCCCTTGCCACATTTTGTGACCTGCCCCATATGGCCGGAGAACGTCGCCGAGCTTTTCTCCCTGAAGCAACTCAACCCTCATCTAAACTCACCCGTTTCGGCCGTTTTGACGGCCGTGTCGATCAGCCCTTCTCGGCCTCCCATGGCGTGGAAGAAGAACTCGGTGGGGGTCAGGCCGGCCAAGTATGAATTCTCCACAAAGCCCCTGCTCTCCGGCCCGTAGTCGTCTTTGATGAAGTGGGGCAGGGTGCGATGCTTGAAGCCGAAGGGGATGCGCTTCCCCTCCACGTTCTGCTGCCCCACCACTGCGATGACCTGGGGGACAGGAAGAGAACGGCTGAGTCAGCCCAGACTTCTGGGGAACCACGCCTCCCCCAAGTCTTGAATTGGTTTTTATATCCTGCCTTTATATTATTATTATTATTATTATTATTATTATTATTATTATTATTATTATTATTAATTGGTTAATCTTTAGTGAGATTCACAGCCTTTGAGGCTGGTTAATAGCTCAGCAGCTCGAGTCCTAACCAAGGACCTAGGAACTGTTAAGGTATCGTCGGAGGATGTAAGCTGTTCCGAGTAAGGTGGTTTAATAATAATAATAATAATAATTATTATTATTATTATTATTTCTTCTTTTATTCATTAAACATGAAACTCAGTCAATTGAACATTTAAAGATGTGTCATAAATACCATTGATTGGTGCTAATGGTTGATGCAGGTTGCTGCCAGCATCCTGGGTATCAACCAAGTAACTTAAAATATATGATGTTCCGATTATTATTATTATTATTTATAAATAAGGCTTAACATATCCAGTGTTCCTTCTTCCTATTTTCCCCACAACCACCACCCTGTGAGGTGGGGGATTGTTGTTATGGGGAAAATAGGAAGAAGGAACACTGGATATGTTAAGCCTTATTTATGGGTTGGACTGAGACAGGGACTGGCCCAAAGTCCCCCAGCCAGCTTTCATATCTAAGGCAAGACTAGAACTCCCAGCCGGCTTTCATGGCTAAAGTGGAACTAGAACTCCCAGTCTCCTGGTGATTGGCCCAAAGTCACCCAGCCAGCTTTCATGCCCAAGGCAGGCCTAGAATTCCCAGTCTCCTAGTGACTGCCCCAAAGTCACCCAGCTAGCTTTTCATGCCTAAGGTGGAACTAGAACTCGCTGCCTCCCACTTTCTAATCTGGTGCCTTAATCCCAAACTGGCTCTCAAAATCAACTGCCTGCACAGGGACGTGAACCCTGGACCCTCAGATTAAAACTCCGATGCTCTACCGACTATTAAGCTGTCCAGAGTGGTGGGAGGTGGGTCCCCACCTGAGAGATGTTGATCTTGGAGCCTTTGGCCCCCGAGACCACCATGGACTTGAAGTTGTTGTACTCCGAGAGGGACTTCTGGGCAGAGGAGCCGGTCTTGTCTCGGGCGTCGTTCAGGATGCGGTTGACCTGGTTCTCAAAGGTCTGGCGCAGGGTGTTGCCAGGGGTGGGCTCCAGCTCGTTGTTGTGGGCTTTCTCGATGACCTGGAGAACGGAAGAGACGGCAAGGGCTCAAGGCAGGCCCAAGGACACAGACCTGGCTTTTCAAGACTGACGCCTCCCTCCCTCCTTGCTTTCTTCTTCTTTCCACCTGTCTCCTTCCTTCCTCTCTCCCTCCTTCCTTCCCCTTCCCTCCTTCCTCCCTCCCTTCTTACCATCTCCTCCCTCCGTCTTCCTCCTTCACTTTCCCATCTCTATTCCTTCCTTCCTTCCATCCTTTCATCCATCCATTCATCCCTTCCGTTCTCCCTCCCTCCCTCCCCTTTTAAAACACCCATCTCCCTTACAAAGATAGATTTTTTCCTCCTCCCCTTCCAACCTCAAATTTCCCCCGTGTTCCTGTCCCAGCTCCTCCATATTCTGCTGCTCTCTACTGAAGATTTCCCCCACTATTCTGATTTTAACTTGCTGGGATAATTTATCCCCCTTTTAAACCACCCTGAAAAACTTTTTCAAAGTTTGTGGAAACGTGGGCCAGCCAGCTCCTTCTCGTCTCAAGCTCCAAGTACCCAAGAGAAGAGAATATCTGTAGCTCAGGGCTGAACTGAGGGGGGTCCTAGTGCGGTCTCTGAGCTGGGTTTGTTTTCTCGCAGACGTTTTATGACCCAACTAGGTAGCATCATCAGAAGGGACTGGGGTTTAAAACCAACACTGATGTTTCCTAGTTGGGTCACGAAATGTCTGCCAAGAAAAAAAAAAAAAAACCCAACCCAGCTCGGAGACCACCAGAAACCCAACAATCCTCCTTCTCCTCCCTCCACTCTGCAAACCTCCCTCCCTTCTAGTGTTGATGATGCTACCTAATTGGTTCACAAAATGTCTGCAAGAAAACCACCAAGCTCGGGGAGCGCCAGGAACTCCACAAAGAACAAATGGGGTTTCCCTTGTGGGTGACCCAGCCCCAGGTCCTGGCATCCCACCCGTGTCTTATCAGCATCCCAGGTCCAGGTGTCTTTGTAGCTTCCTCCCTTACCTCTATCACATCCTGCTTGGCTTTCTTGATAGTGTTCTGGATGTCCTGGTAGGTCTTGGCATCAGCGATGGAGTCCCCGATACCAATGGTGTGTCCTGGGAAAGAAGAAGAAGAGAGATTTGAAAAGAAAAAAAAAAAAACCCACCAGGCATTCGCCTCCTCCAAATGCTGTTCGCAAAAGCCACGTATCCCTAAAAAAAAGGCTAAGAGCTTTACTTGCTCACACGCTCCTGGGCCTTTCAAAAATATGTAATTTCTGCCATCTTGCTTGGGGCCTCACAGAAGAGCATGCAGCTGTGGGGAACTGGTTAGTGCCCGGAAAGCCCTTCCCCCTGACTTTTAATTAAATTTCACTGTTAAAATTGCAACTATCCTTGCCTCTATTTTAAATTTAGTTTTTATATTGATGCATCGATAGGTACCGTGTTTCCCCGAAAATAAGACCCTGTCTTATATATTTTTTAACCCAGAAATAAGCGCTTGGCCTTATTTTCGGGAAGGTCTTATTATTTTGGGGCCTGTGGAACAAGATGGGGCTCCTCTTGCCGTCTTACCTGATTTCCAACTCTGCGTTTAAATATTTTCGGGGAGGACTTATTTTCGGGGAAACAGGATAGATAGATAGATAGATAGATAGATAGATAGATAGATAGATAGATAGACAGACAGACAGACAGACAGACAGACAGACAGACAGGAATAAATAGGAAGATAGAAAGATAGATAGGAATAGAAAGATAGAAAGATAGAAAGATAGATAGATAGATAGATAGATAGATAGATAGATAGATAGATAGATAATAGAGAATAGGCAGGTAGGCAGGCAACAGGTAGGTAGATAGGTAGAGATTGAATTAGGTGATAGAGATTGGATGGATGGGTAGATATATAGATTGATAAATAATAAATAGATGATAGATTATATAGACAGGTAGATGATAGATGGTAGAGATAATATAGATAGATTAGACAGGTAGGCAGGCAGATAGGCAGTTAGGTAGATATTGAATTAGACGATGGATACATAGAAATTGAAAGGTGATAAAGTGATTGAAATATAGACAAATAGACAGACAGCACATGGATAAAGACAGATAGACAGGTAGGTAGACAGACAGATAGATATTGAATTAGACGATAGATGGATGGATAATTTTTTTTTTTTGATTCTCAGCAAAATATCCCATGTGATGGGAAAACACCCGATGGCACCCCATGGCTTTGCTGACTCCCCCAAAAGCAGCCCTCTTTTCTGAGGAACCGAACTCAAGGACCATCCACCCCTGATGCTGAGGGGGAGGGCAAAGTCCCGGCCGCCCCCGCCAGCCTCACCTTCGATCAGCAGCCAGTTGTTGATGACCGTCTGGATGTTGCTGTAGAAGAGGCGGGTGACGTCGTGGCCCATCTCCAGGTAGGAGATGTGGACGAGAGAGCCGGCCGAGGTGCCCAGGGACTTCTTGCACAGGATGCCCATGATCAGCTCTCCGTTCTCCACAATGACCTGGAGATCGGGAGGAGGAAGGTGGTGTCGGTCTCGTCCTCGATCCAAAGGCTGAAGGATCTCAGGATCCCAAACTCCACCACCCAAACTAAGCCTGGGAGGAAGGGTAGGCCCCCGGGGGTCCTCCCTCATCGCTGGTGGGGCCAAACGCTTCTGTAACACTTCTGGGTGTTCTGAAGATATGACAGAATTAGTCGGAAGGGACCTTGGAGGTCATCTAGTCCAACCCCCAATCTCTTCTTGAAAGCTTCCAGTGATGAAGCTCCCACAACTTCTGAAGGCAAATTCTGTTCCATTGGTTGATTTCTCCCACTGTCAGAAAATTTCTCATTTCCAGGTTGAATCTCTCCTGTCACCCATCTCCTCCCACTTATGACTGTAAGACTGTAACCTTGTTGCTGGTATTGACTGTTTCCTAATATGATTTGCTTATTTGTACCCTATGACTATCATTAAGTGTTGTACCTGACGATTCTTGACGAATGAATCTTTTCTTTTATGTACACTGAGAGCCTAGGCACCAAAGACAAATTGCACTGTGTGTCCAATCACGCTTGTCCAATAAAGAATTATATTCTATTCTATTCTAGTTCAGTTTCCATCCATTATTCCTTGTCTGGCCTTCGGGTGCTTTCAAAAATAGCTTGACCCCCCTTCCTCCTCTCTGGGGCAGCCCCTCAAATATTGGAAGGCTGCTATCCTGTCTCCCCTGGTCCTTCTCTTCACTGGACTAGCCATGCCCAGTTCCTGCAACCGTTCATCCTATGTTTTAGCCTCCGGTCCCTTAATCCTCTTCGTTGTTCTTCTCTGCACTCTTTCTAGAGTCTCAACCTCTTTTTTTTATAGTGTGGTGACCAAAACTGGATGCAGGATTCTAGGAGTGGCCTTACTAAGGCTTTGTAGAGTGGTATTAGCACCTCCCTTGATTTTGATTGAATCCCTGTTAATGCAGTTTAGGATTGCGTTGGCTTTTTTGGCTGCCGCTGCACACAGCTGGCTCCTATTTAGCTGGTTGTCCACTTGTTCTGCCCCAGCTACGGACCCCAAAGAACGCAGCACACACACACACACTCTATACGAAGCTTATTTTACTCAAAACAACTCAGTCTTTATCAAACAAAGGCTGTTAATAAACTTTCTTAACAGCCTACAAGAAACCCAAGACAAAGTAATCACAATCTTACTATGGTTGGCAGAAAGCCCAGAAGCAATTTGCAAAGAATCCAGACGCGAAGGAGAATGAACTAAAGTTGTTCCCTACAAATTGCTTCAGTTGGTGTTCCTCCTTAAATAGGCTAAGGGTGTGGCCAATTAGCCCCAAGCCTTACTCTTGAGAAGACCTCCTCCTGAGGAGCCATTCTTGCCTTTTGGCAGCTCTATGCGCTCGTGCATTGAGAAGAGGCTCCTCCTCTTCATCCTCTTCACTTAAGGGAGCTTCTGGAGGTTCTGAAGGCCCTGGCTGAATCCTCACCTCTGGTACCGCATCTTCTCCAGCCTCCTCATTGTCCGACTCAAGTGCCAGCTGCACAGGCTGCTGGCACAGCACCACACCAGCCTCCTCGCTGTCCGAATCAGCCACCAGCTGCACAGGCCACTGACGAGCCACAACACCACTACGACTCCAAGATCCCTCTCCCAGTCACTGCTATTAAGCCTGGTTTCCCCCAGTTTATATGTGTGGTTTTGGTTTTTCTTCCCTAAGTGCAAGACTTGACTTTTCTCTACGTTGAATTACATTTTGCTAGATGGGGGGGCCCAGGGTTTGAGTCTTTCTCGAGATTGGTTTCAGCCCGGGGGAAGCAAATCTCCGTAGAGACGTGCACCCCCTTCCCAGCAGGAAGCAACTGGGTACCTACCTTGGTGTCTCCTGGTGAGATGTGCTTGTAGGGGCCGCTGTCTTCATCGTCCGGATGGGTGCTGTGTGTCCGGACACAGTTGATGTGTCCCGGGATGATGAGGGAGAAGATTTGCTTCCCGGTCCAGAGCGGGCGAGGCTTCAGGATGGCCGGCTGGGGCACTTTGCCATCCCAGGTGGAGAGAAACATCAGCAGGTTCATCACTTCCCCCTGGGGGTGAGGTGGGGGGAAGGGGCAGGAAGGAAGGAAAGAGGAGACAGAGGTCACAATCCACATCCTCCTGTGCGGCCAGAGAGTGGCAAACTACAGGCAGTTCCAAAGGTGCAACCGGACTTTCTGGAGGTTTTTTTTTTCTTTGAAGACGTTTTGCTTCTCATCCAAGGAGCTTCTTCAGCTCTGACTGGAGGGTAAAGGCAGGGAATGGATTTATACTCCTTGCAGACAAGCTGGACATTTGCATCCCTTTTAGAGAGTCCTTGAGGCCACCTGGAGTTTCTCTGCGTCCTCAGGATCTCCGAGTCTTCTTGGAACTGCTGAGACTGGAGGTAGAAGGTGACATAGCCTTCCCCACTCTGTTGAGAGAGGGCTGCTCAATTTGGACATCGATGACCTCTTTGACCCCTCTTTCAAACCTCTCTGTCCAAAATGTGGACTTTGCTGTCTTCCAAAGAGTGGCCCCTTGTCGTTTAAACGCAGGTGGACCTGCTGAATCTAATCCCGATGGCTTTGTTCTGCTATGTTGTGCCATGCGTTTGTGGAGTGGCTGTTTTGTTTCCCCATCCTCTATCTTCCAGGCTACCATACAGTCTTTTCAACAGTTCCAAGAAGGCTACACACCCCATTTGCGCCACTCAGGTGACCCTGACGACACAGAGAAACCTCCCGGTGTCTCTAAAAAGGATGCCAATGACCAGCTGTCTGCAAGGAGTATAAATCCTACCATTCCCCACCCTCCGGTCAGAGCTGAAGAAGCTTCTCGGAAGAGAAGCAAAACATCTTCAAAAGAAAAACCAGAAAGTGCAGTTGCGTCTCGGAGGGGGGGGGGAAGCACCTTTGGACAACCATGACCTGGATGACTGAGAATCTCTACAGGCAACTACAGGTGGTCCTCGACTTACAACAGTTCATTTAGTGACCGTTCAAAGTTACGACGGCACTGAAAAAAGTGAGTTATGACTGTTTTTCACACTTGTGACCATGCGATCAAAATTCAGATGCTTGCCAACAGACTCCCGTTTATGACGGCCGCTGTGTCCCGTGGGGGGGGGGTTGTGTCACGTGATCCCCCTTTGCGACCTTTTGACCAGCCAATGGGCAAGCTGGAATCACTTTTAACGACTGTGTGACTCCATTTAACTGAACTGATTCGCTTTAACAACTGTGGCGTAAAAATGGGGGCAAAATTAACAACCGTCTCCCTGAGCCACGGAGATTTGGGGCTCAATTGCGGTCGTTGAGTCGAGGACTAGCTGCCATCAAGAATAAGAAAGCCGACCTCTGGTTCCTGAGCCCTTTTTGCTCAAGAAATGGACTCACCCTCTCCAGGAAGACATCCCTCTTGGTGAACTTGCGGACGGCCGTCAGTGTGTCTTGCACGATGCCCATGACGGGCCTGTTGGACTGGGGCGTGACGATCATACGGGGCACCATGGCCAGTTCTTGGATCTCCGCCCGGGTCTCCAACGACTGGGGAAGGTGGAGGTTCATTTCGTCGCCGTCGAAGTCGGCGTTGTATGGGGTGGTCACACTGATGGGGCAAAAGAGAGAAAACCCCGGTCAGGGCACGGGGGTGGGGGTTTTGGCCCCTTTGCAAGCTGAGGCCCCGGAAGGAGAGCTAAACTGGGCTTGAACCCGGCTTCGTATGTAGGAGCTGGGATGATACTGTGGTCCCTTCACAATTCAAAGGCAGAAGACGCAACTCCATCCGCGTCAAGGCCATTGCGACAAGCCACACAGCTCAAGGGGTGGTGTTGTGTTGAGGTTGAACTCTGGGGTCTTTGGTGCTCTCTGAGCTGGGATGTTTTCTTGCAGACGTTTCAGGGCCCGACTAGGTAACATCATCAGTGCTAAATGGAGGTAGGGTTTTCTCCCTGTTTCTATATAGAGACTTGCCCCTTGGTGGGAATTTTCTGCAGGAAACTATACTAGCAACTGAGGCAATCAATCAAACAAACAGCAGCTTTGGGCCAATCACCGGGAGACAGTGAGTTCTAGTCCCGCCTTAGGCATGAAAGCCAGCTGGGTGACTTTGGGCCAATCACCAGGAGACGGTGAGTTCTAGTCCCGCCTTAGACATGAAGATCAATTGGGTGGCTTTGGGCCAATCATCAGGAGACCGTAAGTTCTAGTCCAGCCTTTGGCACATATATATATATATTTGTGCCGGTTCTATTTCCTTAATTATCAACAGTAACATAGTTTCTGGTCTCAATATTATTACTTTCCCCATCATTTCAAATATCACTTTCTCCAATTGTTGCCAAAACTTTTTAACTTTATCACATTTGTACCACATATGTTCATAAGTCCCTGAGAAAGAATTGATTAGAATTATGATTATAATGGGCAAAATTGTAATAGCCAGATATTGGAAATTAGGTGTGAATTTTAGAATAGAAGAATGGTATTGTGAAATGTGGAAATTAGCTTTAAACGATAAAATGACATGCGATATTAAAATCAGAAATGGTTGACTATAAAGAAGATATTTTCTGGAAAATTTGGAAACCATTCGTGGACTATGCGCTGGGAAAATTGGATGCTTCGGTACCTGTACCCCGAAAACATGGATTTTGGCGATCATGAGGATATATCCGAAGAACCAAATCTTCCTTTCTTATGTATAGCACAGGGTGAAGTATTGTATATGTTGTTTGTAATGTTATTTTAATAATAAAAAATTAAAAAACAAACAATATATATATGTGTGTGTGTGTGTGTGTGTGTGTGTATATATATATATATATATATATATATATATATATATATATATATATGGTCTTCTCCCACGTAAAATTGGAAGTGTCTTGGCGACGTTTCGACGAAGTCTCATTCGTCATCTTCAGGCTGGTGTTCTCGGCTTTGTGCTTCCAGGAGCAATCCAGGAGCAATCCAGGAGCGATTGCTCCTGGAAGCACGAAGCCGAGAACACCAGCCTGAAGATGACGAATGAGACTTCGTCGAAACGTCGCCAAGACACTTCCAATTTTATGTGGGAGAAGACCCGAATAACCAAAGACCTAAATACATACATACATATATTATATATATATATACATACATACATACATACATACATACATACATACATATATATATATATATATATATATATATATATATATATATATATATATATATATATATATATATATATATATATATGTATGTATGTATGTATGTATGTATGTATGTATGTATATATGTATATTTGTGCCAAAGATCCAACACACCTAACAGGGTTATTGTGGGAAAAATAGGAGGAGGAAGGTGTGTTAAATATATTTGCCAGCTTGAGTCATTGTAAGAACGATCAAGGTGGGATAATAAATAGCTAAGTAAATGCAAACAACTTATTTCCCCCACCCTGAAAACGGCTCAGAAGGGAAGAGGAAGGGTTCAAAGCCTCCGAGCCAAAGGAACAACAAAACCAACCTGAGGTTGAGCCGGAAAGTGGACCAGGGCAAGATACGAACTCGGTGGCCCATCATGGACATTTTGTGGAGCGTGGGTTGCCGGTTGAAAATGACAATGTCTCCGTCGCACATGTGTCGCTCCACCTGGGAGCAGGGAAGGAAGTCATCAGCGGTTTAACCAGAGAGAGGAAAAACCCAGGTGAGCCCAGGGCAAAGGAGACCCCTCTCCCCCCCAAAAATCAACCCCAATTCTGTGCTTGGGAAGCAAAAGGACAAGATAAAACAACAATTTGCCAAGTTTTGCAGAATGATTTTTTTTTTGGTCCTTCTTTAAAAAGGGTGTGTACAGCTAGTCCTTGACTTACGACCACTTTAGCAACTTTTCAAAGGGACAATTCAGCACGGAAAGGAGTGGCTTACGACCGGCTGCCCACACTGATGACCGTCGTAGCATCCCGACAGTCACGTGATCAAAATTTGGGCGCTTCGCAATAATGTCGTTATGACGATTGCAACATCCCATCACATGACAAACCCCCCCACCCCCCCGCTTTGTGACCTTCCCGGCCAAGCTTCCAACCAGCGGAGTCAAGTGGCGGCAAAGCTGGATTCGCTTAACGACCGTGTTGAGTCACTGCCGTGATTTGTTTAACCACCTGGGCACATTTGAGCCTTGCTTAGCGACGGACATTCCGTTCCCAATGGCGGTCGTCAGTCGAGGACTATCTACAGGTCGTCCTCGACTTATGACCGCAATTGAGCCCAAGGCTTCTGTTGTTTAAGTGAGACATTTGTTAAGGGAGATTTGCCCCGTTTTACAACCTTTCTTGCCACAGTGGCTAAAGTGAGTCAACTGCAGTTGATAAGCCTGCAGTAAATCCGGTTGTTAAGTGAATCTCGCTTCCCCCCCCCCCCCAAGGGCCTTTGCTTGTCAGGAGGTCGCAAAAGCGTGATCACGTGACTTCGGGACACGACAACGGTCATTAAGTACGAGCCAATTGCCAAGCGTCTGAATTTCAATCGCAGGGGCTGCTGCAACGGTCATAACTGTGAACAAGGGTCAAAGCTGTAACTTTGAATCGTCACTAAAGGGAACTGTTGTAAGTCACGCGCTGTCTGTGTAGCATTTCCTGCAATTTTTACACGCTGCCCAACCCGAGTTGGCATGGAAGATAATCCACCCTGCCCCTTTTTAAGATCGGTCTTGCCGTTTCTTTGGCTGCCATCTCAGATCACCCCCAAATTAAGGCCACTTTTCTGCCCCACTGGGACCAGTTCTCCCCCTCCCCCCCCGCCCCCCGGACACACACTCCCCTTTTCCAGCCAGACTGACCTTGTACCCAATCTGCAGGTGAAGGTCGCTGGATTTCGGGTGGAAGCGGAGATCAATCCTGTCTCCGTTGTGCCGGATGATGTATTTGGCTCCGGGATACTGACTGTTCCCTCGGCTCACCAGCTCCTGCAGTCTGGGGGCAGGGGGGGGGTGGGATTAGGGGGAAGGGCAGCCAAGAGGGTCAAAGAGACACCCCTGGGTCACCAGGGGTGGGTGGATGGTTTGCCAGCCCGGCCTCGTCCCTCACCTGTCGATGTTGAAAGGCGCCACGATCTCGGCGAAGGTCATGTTGGCGGCGATGGAGCGCGGCACGCCCACCTGGTCGATGGAGAGGTTGGGATCGGCGTGATGACGGTCCGGGCGGAGAAATCCACCCGTTTGCCCATCAGGTTCCCTCGCACGCGGCCTTCCTTCCCTTTCAGGCGCTGTTTCAAGGACTTCAGAGGACGGCCGGATTTTTGCATCGCCTGCAGAAGTCGGAAAAGGGGAGGGGGGCAATCAGGCCTCTGGCACGCAGAGAAAAAAAAAAGGATCCCCGGGGCTTTGGGGAAGGGGGATCAACATGGCAGCGTGTGGGATTTTAGACACCACCACCCCTCCTCTCTCTACCTTCACGGCCCCTTCCTAGATTGGGGGGAGGGGGTCTCACCCTGCAATTGAGGAACTCGACTGCCCATCGTCCCCCCATGGAAATCAGCTCGGTCCCCACTTTTTTGACACTCTTCCAAAAAAGGCCCCGGAGACATGGTTTCGACCACGGGGCCTGGAGACCCCCAGGGGATATTGTGGGATTGTGGGTTTAGGACTTTTGATTGGGTTTTACAGTTACTCCCCTCCATCACCAGGAGTGAATTGGGCAGCCTTATAATTTTTCCTTAATAATGATTTAAGGGAAACACCTTCACAACGTTGAAATTCAGAGGGTCAACTCAATTAGCAGCTTAAGATCACAATGCTTCCTATCTAGACCAGGGGTCTCCAACCTTGGCAACTTTAAGACTTGTGGACTTCAACTCCCAGAATTCCTCAGCCAGCAAAGTTGGCTGAGGAATTCTGGGAGTTGAAGTCCACAAGTCTTAAAGTTGCCAAGGTTGGAGACCCCTGGTCTAAACTGTTGTCCAGGTAAGGTGGGATTATATGTTTCCCCTCTGACGCTGGAGGAAGGAAGGGTTAAGTCCAAAGATGCAGTCTTTTGCCCTAAAAGCAATGTTTTTTTTTCTCAACCTCAAAGATGGATGGACTTCAACTCCCAGGATTCCCCCAGACAGCTTTTTTCTTCTTCTTTCCACTTTACTGAAGTCAAGATATATTATGTCGACCGCATTCCCACCGTCTATTAAGAGAGTTACCCAAAATGCGATAAAGGAAGCCACATTTCCTTCTGATTCTATCCAGGCTGAATTCTGGTAAGCCCTTTTGCTGGGTTGGGGAATTCTGGGAATTTGAGCTCCACCTATCTTTCACTGGCCGAGATAAGAGAAACGCTCGCTTAGGCTAAGCTGGCATTGCCCCCCAATCTACTGGCCTCCAGATGGCGAACCTGTGGCACAGGTGGCACACAAAGCCTTCTCTGCGGGCACGCCAGCCATCGTCACAGCCCAGCTCCAACGTGCATGCGTGTGCCTCCCACTGGCCAGCTAGTCTTTGGGTCTGTGCTGTGCATGCACAGGGTGCATTTGAGGGGTGGGCACTCGCATTGCATTTTGGGGGTTCACACATGCCCCCTGCACCCTGTTTTGGGCCTGGAAAGCTTCCTGTACCAACCTGCAAGCCAAGACGGGACGTGTGGGGGGGAGGGCGGGTGCACGCTTTGGGCACTCAGCACCAAAAAGGTTAACCATCATTGGGCTAGATACAACCCCAAGGGGGGGGTGGGCACACGCTGGCTGGGGAATCCATCTTCCAAGTGGTGGCGATGGAGAAGCCGTGTTCTAAAATATGATGGCCAGGATTTTGGGGGGGGGGGCGCACGGGGGGAAGGAAAGGTCCTTAGGGCTGTTCCTACCCATTCTTCAGGCACTTACTCGGGGCAGGCCGGGCAGTTCATTGTCCACCATGGTGGCCACGTGGAACTGGAGGAGCTTGACGTCTTCCGCGATGACGTGAGCGGCCGCCCCGTTCTGCTCGTTCCGCCGCAACTGGTTGTTGATTTTGACAATGTCGGCCAGCTTGTGAGTCAAGTCGTCCTAGGGGAAAGGAAGGAGGGAAGGGGCTGGGGGTCAGCGTCTGGCAGCCCTATGGTCCCCCTGGAAGCTTGGATGGATGCTAAGCCGGTGTCCAGGCCTGCTGCAAATTCGGGTCTGGGTTCAAATCAAGCCTCCCCCCCCCCCCTTGAGCCGCTCGCAGCCACCTGATTCCTAGCCGAGCCTTGCATGACGACGGCCGGTCTGACGGAGAGCGGAGGGACGGGGAGCACGGTGCATATCATCCACTCCGGCCGGGCGTATTTGGGATCCATGCCCAGGATGAAGCATTCCTCGTCCGAGATCCGCTTGAAGATCTCGTGGACCCGTTCGGGGCTGAGCAGGATCTTCTTCTCTTGGGAGTCCTCGTTCACGTGCTTCCACTCGGCGTACAGCTCCAGGCCCGAGCGGCGGATCCTCGGCTGGTAGCGCCCGCAGCCCCCGTGGCCCTTAAGGGAGGGAAGAAGTCATCACTGGGGGGGAGAAAGGAAACCCAGGTGCAAAAAAAACCTTTCTCTGGGACAGTATATATTTTTTTTATCCCACCCTTGTTTACAAAGTAACTCAAGAGGATGGACGAAGCGAATACTCCTTCTTTTCTTCCTGTTTTTCCCGAGTTTGGTCCAATGGGGAAGGCACCAGGCTAGAAATTGGGAGACGGTGAGTTCTAGTCCTGCCTTAGGCACGAAAGACAGCTGGGTGACTTTGGGCCAACCGCCAGGGAAATGGGAATTCTAGTCCTGCTTTGCGCCTGAAAGCCGTCTGTGTGACTTTGGGCCAACCATGAAGAGAATGGGAGTTCTAGTTCTGCCTTAAGCATGAAAGGCACCTGAGTGACTTTGGGCAAACCACCAGGTGAATGGGAGTTCTAATCCTGCCTTAGGCACGAAAACCAGCTGGGTGACTTTGGGACAGTCCCTCTCTCTCAGCCCAACCCACCTCAAATCACAGGGTTGTTGTTGAGGGGAAATAGGAGGAGGAAATCGAATTAGGTCTGTGCACTGCTTTGAGTTATTTATAAAAACAATACGGCCTCCGACCTCCGCACCGACCTTTTTCACCGACTTCCCTGATCTGTTGTGGATTTTAACTTGGGGACTGGGGATTTTGAATTGGTTTTAATATTATTTAACTCTTATTTATTGTCGGGTTGTTTTTAGTGTTGTGAGACCTGTGGGAGAAGGAAGGCATATAAATCTGACAAGAAAGAAAGAAAGAAAGAAAGAAAGAAAGAAAGAAAGAAAGAAAGGAAAGAAAGTAAAAAAAAAGGCAGCTTGAGAGCCTTCAGCGTAGAACTGAAATCGATCCCAAAAGCCATGCTCCAATTCTCCTGAAATTTTTATTTTCCCTCGAGAAAATATTTCTCTAGTTTTTCTTCTTCTTCTGGGCAAGCACTTCTATTTTCATCTGAATAAGTCTTAAAAGGGTTAGCCAAGAGAACTTTAGCAAACCAACGTGTGACCCGAGCTGAAATTCACTTTACCTATTAATACCTAATTGTGTGTTACTACAACCTTTGCTTTGAGTTTAACAGGAAACCCCAATCAAGCCGGGTAGATTTGAGGAAGAATTCAGACCCAATTAATTTGTAAAAAGCTCCTTTAGACTAAGAGGCTTCTGGGGACCTCTTGGCTTCTCTTAAGTGGGCATCAGTTACATTAATTCAGAAGAAAACTAAGGCACAATCAGCAGAATTGCCCTTGGCTGACCTGCAAGGAAATTTTGATGGGAAAAATTAAAAACTAGCTCTTGATTCCGAGTTGACAAACACGGAGCATCCGTTTTTCAAAACGGAAATGGCAAGTGGGGCACGGCACGCGTGCAGTGTGATGAAATCCCCCTTGGAAGATTAGCGGATTAAAGTATCACAGGTGTTAAACGTGTGCGTTATTAATTTCCCGGTGGAAATTCAGACCTTGGGAAGGGAAACAGCTGTTTTCTCGGGCAACAGGCAGACGGAATCCGAGACGGTTATTTCTGGTTGAGACTTGACTGACAAATATTGATATTTTCGTATTTTATTATCAAGGGAAAAGGTGCCCGGTTTAATAACTAACTTCCGTAAAGGGGCTCCGGCAATGGCAATGCTGTACAAAACCATGCCAACGCTGAAAATCAGAGTGAATCAATTTAATTTTCGGTCAAACAAAGCAAAAAACAATATGAAAGGCGGCTGGGCTGACTTTGGGCCAATCCCCAGGAGATTGGGAGTTCTAGTCCCGTTTTAGGCATGAAAAACGCCAGCTGGGTAACTTAGAGCCAGTTCTTCTGTCTCAACCCAGCCCACCTCACAGAGTTGTTGTTGCGGGGAAAATAGGAGGAGGAAAGTATGCTGGATATATTTGCTGTAAAAGGAATAAAGTCGGGGTATAAATAATCAGGCATTGATTTTTAGGATAGATTAGGAAATGCCGATTGAAAGAATGTTCGAAAGAGTGATTGACAGTGTCAACAGAAATTATTCCTTGCTCAGCCTTGATTTTGTACCTGGGCACAAAAGATATTGTACCACAAGAAGAATACAAACGAATAATGCTAAACCACGTCCAACTATTTTGCACTAAAAGTCCAGGGAAGAGCAACTAAGATGATTAAAGGCCTGGAGACTAAAATATATAAAGAACAGTTGCAGGATTTGGGATTGGCCGGTCCAAAGAAAATGAGGGTTTTGGGGGGGGGGGACGTAATAGCATCTTCCAAAAGAGTGGGGTCTAAGTAGTCTCCAAAGCACCTGAGGGCAGGGCAGGACAAGAATCAATGGAAGGAAACTAACCAAGGAGAGAAGCAACCTGGAACTGAGAAACTTCCCTTTCAGCTCTATTCTGATTGATTGATTGATGTCAGGACCGAAACCCCCGCAAAAGGTTACCAAGCCAAATGGGGAAAACTCCTGAGTGAAGACTCATTAATTAATTAATTTATGAGCCAGGTACTCAAGCACCATGTTGAACAATTCCACAATTGTGTGTCTTATTCAGGAAGCTAAGGCGTGAGTGAGCAAATTCTGTAATTCCAGGGGGGTTGGGGTGTTTCCAATCAAAACCTTGATTTTAAACTTGGTTCAAGGTATTTTGTAATAATCCAAAGAGCAGCTTTGCTAGGATGGTTTGGTACAGCTGCCATAAAAGACTGATACCCAAATTCTAAAGACTGTCGTCGTACTCTGACAGGTTAATGTTTTGCTTTCATCAGCCTGTAGTTCTTCTCTACAGATTCCGGGTATTTATGCCATGAAATTCTATAGCATTCCTGCTTTGTGTTCTTTGAAGCCGTAGCATATTTTTCCAAATAGATAACAGGCTTGAGTAGATTTGAAATTTTTCTATGGATAGAGTAAGAGTCTCTTTTCGGGGGTTTTGTGTGTGTGTGTGTGACTAAAGCAACTTCCCTTCATCACCACGCTGGGGCTTCTCACCTTTTCCTTGGTGAGGTCCTCGTCGCCTTCGGGCTGCTCCACCCCAAATTTGTTATCCATCTCCTCTCCCCCCTCGCAGATGTTCTTGCCTTTGCAGAGATCGTAGACGTGGGTTAAGCGCTTCTTCGGCTGGCCTTTGGACTTGGTCAAGATATCCTTGATTTTCGGATTGTTCTGCCAGGAAAAGAAGGGAAAACACACAGGGAATGATGCCCCCTGCCCCACAAGATGGGGCAGGGGGCACGGAGCACTCCCCCACCACTGGGGTTCGGCAATCTCTGCCTTTATTCCTTTCTAAAATGTATTGGCTGCCTGTCTTTATAAGAAGGTAACCCTGATGCTTTTTGGCCTACAAGCCTTAAAAAGATGGAAAAATATACAAAACGTAAAAGATAAATAAAATACAGGTAGTTCTCGACTTACAACGGCTTGCAAAGTCACTGACCAGTGACTGAGGGCAATTTTTCACACTTGCAACCGTGGCAACTGACTCGTATTTATGACAGCTGCAGCATCCCGGGGTTTTAAAAAAAAATATTTCAAAAAAATATATATTTTAGAAAGTTTATAGTCAGTCCTCGGCTTACTATAGTAAGTGTTTAGTGACCAAAGTTACAACGGCACTGGAAAAAAGTGACTTAGGACCGTTTTTCACACTTAACGACCGTCGTGGCATCCCCGTGATCAAAATTCAGGCGCTTGGCAAGTGACTCGTATTTATGACGGTTGCCACGTCTGACAAGCAAAGTCCATGGGGAAGCTGAATTCGCTTAACAACTGCGTGACTCACTTAACGACAACAGGGATTCGTTTAACAACAGTGGCAGGTGAGTTCGTAAAATGGGGCTTAAAACTCGCTTAGCCACGGAAATGTTGGGCTGAACTGTGGTCGTTAAGGGCTAAACATCCTGGCTTCAACCTTTTTTTGCTCAGGGTTCAGCTGCCGTGTTGGGGGGGGGTGACTCACCGAGTCGACCAGCAGTTTGGAGCAGAAGAAACAAACGCAGCGAAGGACTTTCATGGTTTTTCCTAAAAAGCCGACGTGGAAAACCGGCTTGGCCAGTTCGATGTGGCCGAAATGGCCAGGACATTCAGTCATGTTGCCTGCCAGACAGAAACAGAAGGCGGTGATCATCATCATCATCTTTTAATGATCCCGTAATCCCTCGCGGGGTGGAGTCTGGGCAACTGAATGGAGCTGAGTGTTTTACTGGCCGGATGCCTTTCTTGTTGCCAGTGCGGAGTTTTGTTCGGCAGCTATATTCCCATTGTGCCCAGAGAGAAATATCTGCCTCTACCTGGGATCAAACTCACGGCCTCCTGATTGTGAGGCAAGAGCGCCACCTCTAGGCCACCGTACCACTCAGCATTTAGGCTTATATCATCATCATCTTTTAACAATCCCATAATCCCTTGCGGAGTGGAGTCTTGGGCAACTGAATGGAGCTGAGTGTTTTACTGGCCGGATGCCCTTCTTATCGCCAATGAGGAGTTCTGTTCAGCAGATATATATATATTCCCATTGTGCCCAGAGAGAGAAATATCTGCCTCTACTTAGGATCGAACTCACGGCCTCCTGATTGTGAGGCGAGAACTCCACCTCTAGGCCACGGCACCACTCTCAAACAGGAGGCAGTGATGTCCTCAGCCATATCGGCCCACCGCACAGATGGGGTCCTCACCTGCGCACGTCTGGCACCGCCCAGTCCTTTCGATGACCCCCTGGCGAGGATCCATCAGCCCCCCGAGTTTGGGGCGACCGCCTTCCGTGGTCTCTGGGTACTTGATGCCTGCTTCGGTCACCGACATCCGTTTCTAGAAATTGCAAGCAAAAAGCGGGTGAGTGTCAGATGCTGGGAAGGACGGTTCTTTGGTTAAAAAGTGTGAACGTGCCACAATATAGTGGCAACCCCAACGAGCCAGAGAAGAAATTAATATTTGGGGGAGACGGGGGGGGGGAGAGGGGAGAAAAGATTACAAGTGAAAAGGCAGATCATGTTTATTCAGGTTGGCCTAGTGGTTAAGGAAGCAGGTTAAAAACTGGGAGACTGGGAGTTCTAGTCCTGCCTTAGGTATGAAACCCAGCTGGGTGACTTTGGGCCAATCACCAGGCAACAGGGAATTCTAGTCCCACATTAGACATGAAAGCCATCTGGGTGATCTTGAGCCAGTCCCTCTCTCTTATCCCAGCCCACCTCAGAATTGTTGTGGGGAAAATGGGAGGAAAGTATGTTGGATATATTTGCCGTCTTATAGAAATAATAAAAGTGGCTTATAAATAAAATAAAAATAGAGGTAGAAATAAGAATTAAGGGGGAATATTAGTAGTTATAATTTCTATATAAATTGAAACTACCAGTAAGTAATAATTAAATTTCTGATTAGTCATCTCTTTTAAATCAGATTTACTGCCAAAGGGATTGCCATTTTTTTTTCACCGCCCCATAAGATTTTTTCAAATTGTCACAACTGCATGTTTAACAAGATAATATTCATTTTCCTAACTGAGGAGGGGGGAAAAAGGATTTACCCATTTCATTGGCAGAAAGATGTGTTTGACAGTCTCAGCTGCCCCACACAGAGGAGGGGTTTTTGAAAAAAAGAGAAGGGGAGTTTGAAAATCTGACTTGGCAGAATTTTGAACAAATATAGACATAAAGATTGAACAAAACGAAACCTAAGAGGCAATATTGTAGAATAAAAAAAAGTTTGAGCCTGCAGAATACTTTCAAATCAGATGACTGGGTTTTATTTACTTATTAAATTTATACGCTGCCCATCTCACTGCTGCAGCGACTTTGCGTGCTTACAATGTAACAAAAAGGTAAAAAAAATAATACAAAATGATGTGGATTCCATAAGAAACCAAGCTTGTAGTTACTGGGCAACTATGGGCCAGTTCCTCTCTCTCTCTCTCAGCCCAGTCCACCTCACAGGGTTGTTGTGGGGAAAAGGATTAGGAATAATCTCTGTTTTGAGTGACCTATAAAGTAATAAAGGTGGGATAAAAATTCAGTAAACCACTCTGAATTTCCAGCAAACAAACTCTTTGTAGATTCCCAAGGCTGCCAACTTGCCTGCCCCCAGTCATGCTGGATAACAAGACGAGCGGCATATAAATTTGATAAACAAAATTTACTTAAAAGTTTCTTATAAAGTATTAACAGTGAAATGATAAAACCAATCAATCAACCAAAATGACAACCTTCTCCATGTTGCCAACCGCTTGCTCAGAGTCACTATGGATAGCCAGATGAGCAGCATATAAAATAATTTTCGTTGTTTTGGAATAACCCACAATTGGAAAACACAACTAAAGTTGGTGGCAGAAGCTTTTAAAAGGCAGAACTAGGCAAGGATCAAGGATTTTTAAAATCCCCTTAAAAAAATCAAGATGAAAAGAAATGGGGGGCAGGAGGAGGGAGAGCAAGAGAGACCCCCAATCCACAGTGAAGCCACTTCCAGAAAGGAAGGCCACGGACACCTGATGCTTTTTTTGTTTTGGAAAAGAGCCATTTGCACTTGGAAAAACTGCAAACTTCCAAAAAAAGGGGGGTGGCATTTGGGAGAACAGAGTGATCACAGCCCCCCTCTTCTAAGTAACTCAAGACCCTCCCCCAAATGCATTTTTTGTTTTCACAAAGAAGCATTTGCACTTTCAAAAAAAAAAAAAGTGTGAAGACCTCCAGAAAAAGAGGCCAGGGGGCTGCACGGGAGAGTTATAGAAAACCCCTAAATAATCCAAGACACCCCCCCACACACACACCTCAAATTCCCAAAATTCGGGACACAAACACCCTATTTTTTTTCCCTTTGCAAAAACTTGCAAAGCCCCCAGAAAGGGTGGAGGAGAAAGGAGAGTTGGGGTCAAGAGAAGTCCTAAAGTCACTGAAGACCCTTCCTACTGTCCTCCTCCCCCCCCACCCCCCAATTTCTCTTTCCTTGCAAAGAAGCACTGACAACTTGGGAAAAGTTGCAAACTGTCCCCAAGGAAGAAAAGTGGGGCGGGAAGGAGGGGGCACTTGAGAAAGTGGCGGGGTCGGAGAAGCCCCCCCCCTTAAATAACTGAACACCCTTACTACTCTCCCCCCCCCCCCATTTCTCTTTTCTTGCAAAGAAGCGCTGACAACTTGGGAAAAGTTGCAAACTGTCCCCAAGAAAGAAAAGGGGGGGCGCTTGAGAAAGTGGCGGGGTCGGAGAAGCCCCCCCCTCCCTTAAATAACTTAAGACCCTTCCTCCCCATTTTTTTTTTCTTTTCTTGCAAAAAAGCAAAAACTTGCAAACTGTGTCCCCCCCCCCACTTTCTTGGGATTCTGGCGGGGGGGTGATAGAAACCACCCTAAGTAGCCCAAGATCCCCCCTCCCCATCCCCAAATTCCGATGGAAAAGCAAAAACTTTGGATCCCACCCACTCCCACCCCAAACGTTGGGGCCACCCACCATCTCATCCGGGCTGAGGATGCCGAATTGCACGCGCTTGATGGTGCGCAGCGGGCACGCGCTGTCCCCGGAGGGCGCGCCCCCGTGCATCTTGGCGGCGGGCCCCCCCCCTTTTTTTTCCCGTCCGCTGCCGCCGCTTTTTTTTTTTTTGCTTTCTTTCTTTCCCTTCCTTTTCCCCGGAGTCACGTGACGACGACGCTGCTGCTGCTGCTCTGCCTCCGCCTTAGTCCGTCACCAGCCCGGAAGAAGCCACAAGCAGCCGCCGGTCTTTTCCCCCCCCCAACAGTCCGGTTTTGTTTTGTTTTTTTACGCCGCCGGCCCGAACTCGATCCCCGGGAAGCGTCCCCCGCGTCTCGCAACGCCGGCAAGAAGGAAGATCGGCGTGCAGAAACACCAGATTCCCGACACGCGACCACGTCCGGCCGCTGCTCCCCTCCCTCCTGTCCTCTCCCTCCGCGCTCTCCGGCGCGACTGAGCGAAGCTGCTCCGTCGCCGCCTTTATATAGCCTCGCTCCCCCGACACGGGGCTACAGGAGTACAACGGCAAGGGCGGTGACGCCGAAAGGGGCGGGGCTGCGGCTGCGTCGTCTCCGAGCGGGAGGGGGCGTGGCTAGGGCCCGAGGGAAAACAACAAGAAGAGGCGGCGCCGGAGAGGGAGGAAAGATCGAACCAAATCTGGGGGGGGGGAAAGAAATGTAATTTTTATTTTATTTTTTTGTAAACGCCTGTTGAACAGAGATCCGAAATGTGCACAAGGCAGCTCGGACTAGGAAAGTAATTAGGTTACACTGAAATGCTCGGATAAAAGGTTATTTGGCCTTCATGTTGGAATTACTTGGGGGTTTTCAAACAAACTCTGTTCGGTGGCCGTAATGCAATGGAAGCATTTTTTTTTTTTGGAAAGACAGCAAGTTATTTCAGGAAGGAATAACGACCCAGAAAGCTTATTCTATAGCCCAAGCCTTCTCATTAGGACTTGCTCTCAAATTAGATGAATATACAATTTCCTTAATTATTCTGTTCCTCCACCCCCCCCCTTTTTTCTAATGGTACAGTCTTTACGGAAGAAGGCTCCTTTCCCGAAGTTTTTCGACGCACCTCATTGACTATTCATGAGCTGCGAAAGGCGGGGAAACAAAGCCGCTCCTTGAGGGGAGGGGTGTGTGGCCACATGCCGAACTTTTCCGAAAATGGCCGAAGGGGCCCCGAGGGTGGAGAGTCGGGTGCCTCACAGAGCCAGCTTTTGTCGAGCGCGAAGTCGAAGGCGGATGGAACGCTCCGGGCGGCGGCCTGCAAGGCCTCGCGCTCGCGTGATTCTCTCGGCCCGGAGAGGCGCGCGCTCGGCCGGCCGACCCCGTTTAGGAAAGCGCGCTGCTTCGGGGCCTACTTCCACAATTGAATCGGGCCTTGGCGGAAAGGCTCCCGAGAGCCTCTTGGGGGTAACGGAGGGCTACAATTTAGCGGAATTACGGGAAGAAGGCGGACGGAGCGGGTGAATTAATCTCCCAGAAGAGGTTGATGGGAGTTGTGAGGGGGGACGATTTTATTTGCGGAGGGGCGACTTGGGGGGTCAGGGCTGCTGTGGAGGCGGTGGGCTTCTGAGAGGAAAGTGGGGAGAAACTCCGTCCTGGGGTGAAGATTAAGGGGTGTTGTCTGAGGAAAGCCTGAGGGGAGGGGATTTTGGGGGGCAGGGAGGACGTAAATAATGGGGGGGCTCAAATGTGGGGCTGGGGGGGAGGGGAATTGATATCTGGGGGGCATGAGGGGTGAGAGAAAAAAATTGGAGGGAATGGGGAAATGGGGAGGGGTTAATAAAGAGTTGGGGGGCAGGAAGGGAGGTGGGGGGGCTCAATATGGGGAGGGGGAGATTGAAAGGGGGCAGAGAGGGGCTTTCTGGCCTGGAGTGCCAGATTGGGGGGTGCCTTGCCCCCTCCCTAGGCCAAAAAAAAGGGGGTTCCCCCCATCCTATGGGGCAGGCTTTCCACCACATGGGGTTCTTATGGGGCTGTTTTTTAGGCCTGTTTTCAACCCCAAGGCAATAAAATCTGGATGAGGAGAAAATAAATATATATATATATATTCTTTTCTCCTTATCCGGATTTTATTGCCTTGGGGTTGAAAACAGGCCTAAAAAAAGCAGCCCCATAGGAATATATATATATTTTTATTGTTGTATTTTGTTCCCCTGTGGAAAAAAAATAAAAGCCAATGCTCTTTTCCCCCTCCCCCCCTCTTCTTTCCCTTTCTTGGTTATCTTTATTTTCATTTTGTTCTTCTTCGCAGGATTATAATCTTAATAAAGAAGAATGAAAAACAACAACATGGAGGGCGAAATTAACGATATTATTTTGTATTTTACAGGGCTGAAAAAAGTGGGAAGCCGATGCTTGTTTTTTTTCCCCTCTTTCCCTTTCTTTCCCTTTCCTGGTTATTTTTATCTTCATTTGTCTTTTTTTACGGGATTATAATCTTAATAAAGAAGGATGAAAAAAACAACAACAACATGGAGAGCGAAATTATAAATATTTTGTATTTTACAGGGCTGAAAAAAAAGTGGGAAGCCAATGCTTGTTTTTTTTTTCCCTGTTTCCCTTTCTTGGTTATCTTTATCTTCATTTTATTGTTCTTTACAGAATTATAAAGAAGGATTTAAAAAGCAACAACATGGAGGGTGAAATTAAAAATATTATTTTGTATTTTACAGTGCTGAAAAAAAATGGGAAGCTGATACTTGTTGTTTTTTTTTTGTCTTCTCAATCATTTCTTCCTCTTTTGTTCCCTGTTGTCTTTATTTTTTAATGTGTATTTTACAGGATTAGAATCTCAATAAATAAATTTATTTTAAAAAGAGCAAAACCTGAAAGGGGGAGGAAATAGGTTGCCAGAAGCTCTGTGTGTGTTTGTGTCTCCAAATAACCATTTTTTAAACTAGACATATCAATCTACCGTATTTTGTTTGTTTTCTTTTTAGCTTGTTTTATTCTATTTTACTTTTGTTTAAACTTCCTCTTTATTTTATTTTATTTTTAATTTGATTTATATGCCGCCCTTCTCCGGAGACTCAGGGTGGCTTACAATGTGTTAAGCAATAGCCTTCATACTTTTGTATATATTTTTACAAAGTCAGTTTATTGCCCCCACAAACTGGGTCCTCAATTTACCTACCTGAGAAAGGATGGAAGGCTGAGTCAACCTTGAGCCTGGTGAGATTCGAACTTACAGTAATTGCAGATAGCTGGTGTTAATCACAATGCTATTAGTCTGCTGAGCTACCAGGCCCTTTTTTTTGGTTGAGAGCTGCCTAAAATAGCCCCATTTAAGGGCCAAGCGGCAAATATAATTTACTGGCTGCCCATCTTACCATAGGGTAACTCTGGGTGGCTTACAGTCATAAAAATGTATCTTATACCTGTACATTAAAATATAAATTGAAAACATTAAAATCTTATGGACATGTGAGTGGAGGTGAAATATGTTAATCACACCTCCACTGTGCTATTACTAAATTTAATAATTTGCTGACCCTTTCTGTATTTAAATACAGGTAGTCCTCAACTTACGACCACAATGGGCCCCAAATTTTCTGTTGCTAAGCAAGACATCTGTTTAGTGAGTTTTGCCCCAATTTACGACTTTTCTTGCCACAGCTGTTAAGTGAATGACTGCAGTTGATAAGTTAGCAACCTGATTGTTAAGTGAATCTCGCTTCCCCGTCGACTTTCCTTGTTGGAAGTTCGCAAAAAGAGGATTACTGCAACCGTCATAAAATCTGAACCAGTTGCCAGAGCGTCTGGATTTTGATCAGGTGATCATGGGGGGGATGCTGCTGTAACTTTGAGAGGTCACTAAATGAACTGTCATAAGTCAAGGACTACCTGCAATTTATTTATTTATTTATTTATTTTTTGAATTCTGGCAGAAGGGGAAGGAATTGGGATATGCCAAAAATGGGATATTCAGGAAAAGAATCTGAAAGAGTGCTGATAGTCCAAGAGATGGATGGAAAAATCAAAATAAGATATTGTCAACACAGCTCAGGCTGATGTTTGCATTCCTAGTGCTAGTGTTCGGCAGAAGTTTGGAGAAAAATGGGAAGACGGTAAACAAAATATATGCAACATGTTTAAAACCTGGAAGGGGAAAAAAATATTGACTGACAACTTTTGGGAGGGAAGAAACACATGATATACAAATATGGAGGGTTTCAGGAAAACTGCTAAGCTAAACTCTCATGTGTTTTGGTTTGATTTTGCTGCTGTGAACGTGGGTCGTTGCGGTTTGTTAAATTGCAGGCCACCGTCTTCCTCTAGAGCAACTTGGTGCTTGCCATAAATAACTACAAGACAATTAAAAGGTTTAAAACATTGGATGTTAAAAACTTTAATCAGTTTTGCAATGTTCTATTTATGTGTGGATCCTGGATATGAGGGGGTCCTTGTTGCGCTCTGAGCTTGGCGGTCTTGTTGCAGATGTTTTCCTCAAACTGATCACGTCATTGCAGTGAGCACTGATGATGTTCCCTAGTTGGGTCATGAAACGTCTGCAAGAAAAACCACCAAGACCAGAGAGCACCCAGGATCCCTCATTTCAACCCTGAGCTACCATTACTCTCCTTTCTCAGCAATCCTGTTTATTTCTGATTTTCTATGTCCACCTCGGCAGAAAGGCAGCATCTGTTAGCTAGGATTAAACCTAGTTTCAGAAGTCACAGGAATTCCAGAAGATGTTTTAACACCTGGGGCAGGCAGGCAATGGCGATGTACCTCTGGATTGAAGCCTTCTCCGATGCAGCCGTGAAATTGCAAAGAAGAATTTGAATTAAGGGCATTTTTCCTCACTTATTTCAAATAACTAGGATCCACAGTGTGTAAAAAAAACTTTTCCCCCCCCAGAAGCCGTGATCCAAACGGCAAGCACGCCAAATGTGACGGCAAATGTCATAAATATTTCTCTGTGTCACCAGCCCACCATCAGACCCTAAGGAAGCTATTAACCATCTTAATCGAATTAAGATTTGGGTAGAATAGCCATGTAGCTTTGATTCCCTGTTTATTGAGGGATTCTGGAAACGAGTGGCTAAATTTGAAAAACATTGATTTAGACTAGGGGTGTCTCACCTTGGCAGCCTTAAAGGTGTGGACTTCAACTCCCAGAATTCCCCAGCCAGTGCTGACTAGGGAATTCTGGGAGTTGGAAGTCCACAAGTCTTAAAATTGCTACGGTTGGGCATCCTTGGTTTAGACAATAATAGAATATTTCCTTGGATACATCCTGTTCCAATGGCCCTTGAAGGCAGTTAATAGTTGAACTAGACCAGAACCATAAGCACGAGGGGAAAACCTTTAATTAAAGCAATATTTTTATTGCAATTACAAGCTTTCCAGTTCTCAAAAAGACTAATTTATTTATTATTTATTAATTCAATTTGTATGCCGCCCCTCTCCGAAGACTCAGGGCGG